TCACAAATATTGAATATTGAACATGTATGAGGTTCATTACCTTTTTACAAGTTTGCATAGTAGTTTTATTTGTAATTTTCTTCAATATTCAGTTTACAGTCAACTGACACCCATACGGGTGTTTATAATTACATGAGTATTTAATATGTTGTATTCATCAAAATGACATTTAAAATATAGAGGGCTAGGAGAAAAGAAATAGAAAAAATTATAGGAAGATAAGCACGATATAGCTAAATGTTATGTAGTACAATTTAATTCCTGTCCAAATAATACTTTTTTCAAATCTGATTTGAATTTTTCTTTAGAATTTAATTAGATGTCTAAAAATGTCAGGTAAATCATTCCATGTTGTCTGTCCTGTGTGTTTAATGCTCCTTTGTCCAAGTGTGTATTTAAATTGATTAGTTCTGAGATGGAATATATTGTGTCTCTTGTCAATGTGTTTGAGCACTTATTTGAAGTAGGTGCAGAATAATGTTTCAGAAAATTCTTTTTGGCGTTTGAGACAATTAAATACAAAAATACATTAACATTTAGTTTATATCTTTTAATTCAAGTTCATGTATCTTTATTTTCTTAAATTGAGGAGACGAATCGTCTGTTCTAGCAATGTTTGTGATTGTCAACACAAATAGTTACCAAATACGTTGTTGGGCCTGGTGATACGCAAAGAATTTCAAGTTAAAGTGTTTATGATATATCCGGTGTAGCAAAAATGAGATACTTTTTGACAAGTATTCTCTCGGCAACCGATTAACAAAATTTACTGAAATTCATTCAAAGTAGCCCAAGAGTATCGTTAGCAAGGTTTAAAAATATGAAAAAGATCAGATAAATGTTATGTGAGTACTATATAAGAAATTCAAGATGGTATGTCAAAATATCCCATACAGGAACAATGCAATGAGAACTTCATAACGTACCGAAAATTGGAAGCAAATTGACAAGGAATATCTGAGTAATGGTTTTGTCAAATTATTTGAAAACTTAACTTGGCGCACTTTAGGGTATTTTCTGCCAGTGCTATGAATATGTAAGAGATTGGTTTCATATTATGTGTGTATTTTTAAAATTAAAGACAGTATGTCAAAATAACCAATATCAATGAACAAGTCACTTTTTAATTCATTTCCAAGTAAAAATACTTTTCCTTATCTATTCTTAAAATATCACCTCGAATGAATTTTGAGAATGAAAGGATTTTGTATATTTGGAAACAATGAAACAAGCTATTTTGACTGATTGGCAGATGCTATCACCTGATAGCTGGTAAAAACACTATAGATCGCAGAGCTCCGGTAGGGGAATTTTTAACATGCTATTTTGAATTTCTTATTTCTCAGAGAATATTTATTTGATCTTTTTTATACTTTTACAACTTATTAATGATACTCTTAGGCTATATTGTACAAATTTTCAGTATATGAAAACGATGAGTCTGATCCTTGAATTATTTTTTATTCAATTCAATGAAAGAATTAAATTCATTAAATAAACAGAAACGTGGATGTGTAGCCTGAATATTGTCAAAATCGGTCTCAAGTGTAAAAATAATATTCCATATCTCTGAGCAACAGTGTATGTTAAGTATACAGGTTTGTCTGACATAGATACTGACATCTCCCTTGGAGCCTTAGTTCAGAGTTCTAACCTGGAATTTTTGGTGAGTTAAAAACTTTTACATTAGTTCCTCGTTTGTTTGTTGGTGTGAGTTGCATATGCGGTATGTCATCGTTTAGTAGCTCATACGCATATATGATGTGAGGTAGTGCTACGTTAGGCATTTTAACTTCGCTTTAACAAAAGTTAGAGATTGTTATGAAAAGCTGTCGGTCAGAAAAATAACATTTTACAACTTAATCTTCAGGGGTACATGAAGACTGCTTATATTATACCTGGGGCAAAACTCTGTAAACTACGTAGATAATCAAAAACACATTTTTCAACTCATAAGATTTCAAGTGAAAAATGTTCATTGTAATTTTCTCAGATAATTCATTATTAACGGCTGCGGGCCCTTGGGTGTGTGTTGTGTATACATGCTTAGACAGTTGCATTCTGATACTCATAGCATATTTCAATTTCACCTGAAACATCTCAGGGCTGAGGAGAAATGAGATGTCATGGTTTATCATGATGGGACAGTTGCACCATTCAACATTTCTTCAAGGTCCCTTTATTGCTCCTGGCCATAAGAGTGTGTCTATTGATGGTTATCACTGACATTGGGTTCGACTGGCGTTTTGCCACACACCCTTAGCTGACTGTCGAATTTGAATTGTTAATGGCGGGCCAAATAGATGGACACCTGATCATCCCTGAATGTTTAAAGGTAGCGCCTAGTGGGTGCGTTTATCTTTCATTCAAATATCAAATATTCAGTTCTTTAGTAATAATTTCTTTCGGTTATAGGCCAAGCAAATGGGCTCATAAAAGGCCCAAACATCCCAAAAATTGCAACAGTTTTTAAATTAGTCTTATATTATGTATTAATATCAGTTGAAAAACATATCAAAAATATAGAAAAATGTATGCAGTGGACAAATATGAAATTTCACTTCCTAGGTACCCCTACAACCCTACCCCAAAATTGTGTATTGGTAGGAAACAATTTTTTCTTCCCAAATGGAATACTTTAGTCAAGTATTCAAGCTTTATTATGATAGATCACATATTCACAAATAATTAAAATATTATTTTAATCAATTTTGAGACCAGTAATTGGTCATTTGACCCCAAAGTATAACAAAATAGGCCACAAAACAGGCATGTTATCACATATCTATTTAGATATTTTAGGATCAGTTTGTCAGAAAAGCATGAAAAGAATCATGGTGTTACATATTCATATGAACTTCATATTTGGTGAGTGTCAGAATTCTAAGGTGTATACTTAGGAAGAAAAAAAATTATTTCATTTTCATAGTTTTGCCCCGCCCACTTTAGGGGAGACTATAGTTTTGATGATTAACTCCCACAATGCATCACATTTGTATTAGAGTTGACATCTAAATCATTTATATAGGCTTGTCATCATCTAAAATACAAGTTTTGTGAAGGTTTATACCTTATTAGTATGAAAAATAGGAATTATTAGTTGCACCAGGTGAAATGTTAAGGTGACCTCACTTTAATTTGATGAATAATTACATATCACTACTCTGATATTAGAGTATTTGATAACTGCTCTATACTAGGCTTATCTAAATAATGTAAGTTGTAGTTTTTGTGGAATTTAATATTGTTTAAATTATTAATTACAATCCGCAATTACAAAATTTGCATATATTTAAATTCATCAGATAAATAAATCATTACATAAGAGTACATTACTATGGAACTATCAATTGGATGTATAATGCTGTAGAAACGAATTTATGGTTATTAAACGGAATTTAAACTGACAGAGAAATCTCAGATATCTGTGGAGTCTTTCATTAATATAATTTCAGTGCATAGGAATGATGATAATTCTGTCTGTCATGTTGGAAAACATTGAGTGTACATGTGCTGCATTCAGAATCGGATGCAGATATTGTGATTGTGAAAACTGCAATCCAAAGTGTTCCAACCTCAAATACAGTACTCATACAGATCTCCTTGTGCTTCTCATTTATCATGCACAAAACACAAACTTCAACATTTTCTTCAAACCTGAACCAAAAGCAGCAACCCAAGAAACAGAATGTTGGAATATAAATGAAATAAGATTGTCTTTGGGAAAGGTGGTCTGTGACAATATTTTGTTTCTTTTCTGGGGTGTGACATCGCATTCAGGTTATATATGGCATAGACAAGAGGCTATCATTGAGGAAGATAAAAAAGAGTGAGTTCTTGAGAAAACAAGCGGTTGTTTTTAAATTACCAAAAGCACTGGTGATCCGCTCGATTACGCTTGTCGTTTCGGTAACAAAATGTCTAAACGTCGAAAGTACGATATTTCTTTTTTCCTTTTTTTTCACGCGTTGTAGGCAGAATCCCCACGATGTTTTTTTCTCACAGAATTGTTGATTTAATTCCTTACTTAAGTTAAATAAACGGTTTGGGTTAAAAGTGCAGATCTTAATTGTTTATCGAAATACCGTTTATGTAACTTAAGTGAGGAATTAAATCGAAGATTCTGTTGCCTTCTGAACTATTTGTTCGCAAATATGTACATTTTTAAACATATAATACTGATACATGTTTGTGATAACAATGTTGTGGGAATTCTGCCTACAATGTGTGAAATAACGAAAAAAGAAAAATCAAACCTTCGATGTTCCGACATTTTGTTACAACGTAAACAAGTAGAAAACCAGTGAAATGCAAGCAACTCTGTCATTGCAGAGGAACATGCTCTTTTGTCAATTTATGGTGGAAAAATGGTGAAACCCTAAATTATCTTAGGCTTCTAAAATTATATTAAAAAGACCAATTGCCTAAATGCAGCTCCCCTTTCTCAGAGATCATCCATTGTGTGTGTAAGGCAGATTGTATTTCTATGAGATGTTCTTGTAGAAAAATGAAATAACTGTTCTTTGACATGGAAGGTATGCAAAGACATTTGTGCAAATACCTCCATTACTGATCATGAGAATAATGATGACTAAATAATGAACACTGTCAGATCTGGTCCCCTCCCACCCCCTTGGGCGGGCCCAGAAAAAAAATTGGGCCCAAAAAGGCCTTAAGGCCCCGAAAAGTGGGCCTTTTTGTCATAAATAGGCCTTTTAAAGCCTTATTTTTTAATTGAAGAAAATGGGTCTCAATATTTCAAAACTTCAGGGTTTTAGGGGCCCAAAATTTTTTCCGCGGAAGTTTTTTTCTCAGACCTGACATTTGCCCCCCCCTTGTTGGTTCCCATATCCGCCCCTGATGAAGGCTGGTGATAGACACGGTTGTAACTGATTGTTGTTACAACATAATAGTATTCAGCTTATTCAATCAGCATTCTTTTTTGCTCTCTATAAGTAAGACACATATATGAAGGTTAAGATTACAAAATTAAGGCAGCATTTTTGATAATGAACAAAACATAATAGAACCAGGCCCTGTATAAAGCCCAGGGATTTACTTTGCGTTACACTAGTTAACTCAGGAGGATTTATTAATGTAGAAACCTTTTCCTCATTTCTTATTGAATTTCATCTTGAAATCGAACATTCTTCAGTTGAACTTCTTCATTTCATTTCTCAATATCACTGTGTGGTTAAGAACACCTTAGTCGAAAGTAACAATTTTTCCTTAATACAGGGCGAGCCAAAAAGGTAACCCAAACAAATCTTAATAATCCAGTCCAATCATCCTGCATGGATTTAGTGTCATATTTGGCAGAATTGAGTCTTGGTCAATGTATTATCAATCTACCCAGTCTCACGCAGTGGTCTATCTCTAGTGGTCACGATTTTATGGCCATTTTTTGTTTATACCATGCGATGAAATATGGGTGTCATGCCTGGAGGCCAACTTGATAGTATCGTGCGTTATGACTCTCATCTTCATTCTTATCTCTTGCTTTAATGTTTCAAGTGTTGTTAGTATCCAAAAAAGGTCCACAGATAAAAAAAAAACTGGTGGTATTGATGTCCAGTCAGTTAGGCACATTTCGATATTTTGAGCACATTTTGTAAATGGCCATAAAATCGTGACTATTAAGGATAGACCAATGACACTTAGTAGAATGAAAGAACATTGAACAAGGTAATTGTGCCAAATATGATGTCAAACCCATGCTGAATGACTGGGTTATTAACAAACATTTGGTTGGGTTACCTTTTTTGGCTCATATTAATAAACTGATGTCAGGGACAGGGATATTTAACATTTTGTTGCCTTTTCAAGGACATTTTTTGACCACTGATTGTAACAAATCGTTCTCTGTTTTACCAGAAAAGGTATATTATATATCAAATTGAATTTAAAAGGAAAAAACATTTGATAATTTAACAGTCAGAGAGTTATCAACTAAAAGTAGGGCTTCCCCTATATTTCACCTGGCATTTGCTGTTTTTCTACTTTTTTTACATAATCCTTTCCTGAAAACCTCAAAAAACTGTTTTCAGGACAAAATAAGCCTTTACAAATAATTAAGTTGTGCTATTGAGTTCAAATATGACATATCTTGGAAGTAATTAAACAAAAGTAAGGTCACCCCAAAAGTGGGTGTGGTAAAATATTGAAATTTCAAATATTTTTTTCACGCTCAATATTCACTTAATGACCCTGATACTTATCAAAGAGAATGTTCAGGTGTACAATACCCTCCTTGATATTTTTCATGCAATTCTGATGAATTGATACAGAAATAAATACATTGTTATATTAAATTCGGGCTATTTGATGGCCTATTTTCACATATTTGGCGCTAGAAATGCCAATTATTGCACTCAAATAGTTGGTTAACAATTTTCAGTTGCTCTTGTGTCAGTAAACTATCATAATATTACTCGTTTAGTTGACAAGAGTATTCCATTTTGAAATAAAAAAATATTTACAATCCCATACTCAAATTTGGAGGGGGGTACCTGGAATGTGACATTTCATATTTGTCCACTGCATATATTTTTCTATATTTTTTATATGTTTCTCAACTGGTATCAATATACAATATATGCCTAATTTAAAAACTGTTGCAATTTTTGGGATGTTAAACTTCCATTTGCCTAGCCTATTAGTGCCAGCTAGCACATACTATTTTACACCTGATGCTACATACACAACGTTTGTACTAACCCACTTTTAATATCGCTTAATAGTTTATACCACTGAATAGAATACGTGTTTAAGCAGACAATTGAAGATTGATAAATATTACAGTTCTATTGATAGCCCATGCATTAATCATGTGCTTTCAACAGATAGCCCATGCATTATTCTACAAAGATATTGTGTTGTAATGGTTGCGATGTTATAGATTTCTTTTCTTAAAGCATATTTCATAGAAATGCAGGACTTCCTCCATATTTGATTTGTATGACATAATGTAAAGAAACTTGGTTTCCTCAGTCACGTTAGAAAGGTCCTTATTTAATGTTTGGAATTTTAATAATAAACAGTGCGTTCACTTCTCTGCATCCTTTTTTAAAAGTTATTTTCAGTAGTGAGATTGCACATGAACGTGACACGTACTAAAATGAGTTAAATGATCAGGTAAATCTATTCTTGCAAATCTACAGTTGATAAAACAATAATTTGGTTTGCTTGTGTTTGACAAATCATGTTTATTCTCTCGATGTTTTGGATAGATATGGTGAACGTGCTATCACTTCTTCAACAAGCTTTCAATAACACCTCATTCAAACAAAATATAAGTTTACAATGTTAATATGGTAAACCAATCGATTTAATACCATTTGTATTCTTTTGAAAAAATAGTGTTATCGTAAACAATAACGTTAAAAAGCCATGTACTTTTATAAGTGAACTTCAGAGATCACGCCAAGCTATTAAGTGGCACTTGTAAGTAACTCGATCGTATGAAAAAGGATTGATTGGTTATTTTTAACTCTCACAAACTTACTTTGGAACTGCACAGGTACGAGATATGTTCTTGAACGCCTCAAATTTTAGAATGAACTTTAAACATTGTTTGTCTTATGAATATAGGTAAATTAAGATTAGGTAAGATTTACTCAGATTTCTTTTAGTAGTTCCATTGCCATTCAGTATAATGATTACAATACACAAATACCAGTGAGAACATTTAGCACGCATGTTTAATCATTCATTTAAAGTCTAATGGGTTAATGTGATATCCTATTTGGAACTGTAATATGCCACTAACTCACACATTTGTTAGGCAAGCCTAGGAAGCTCTAGGACGGTTGTTTGTATTACAATAATGTGTTGTCAGCTGTTACCAGGTACCTCTTCCGGAACACTATTAAATGGCTTGGACTGGTCAATTTCTGTGGTAATGACGGATTGTATGACCGAAGATAGGTACACAGAAGTGTTCTTATGTACATCGTTTGTGCAAATATTTGCCAGATTACAAGTTAAGGATCTTTAACTGGCTTTTAAAAATACACAAAAATGAATAGACACAAAGACACCCTTCTTTGCATTCGTTCGACTTTAAAGATTCGTCTTCTAATTCTTCGGTAGTTTATGACTAGACTCTGCGCGCAGGGTAACACAAAGACTAAAGTATACCTACCGTTTCAGTTTTATCAGACATTTCAATGACAGAGTGGCATTCACTACCACCATGAGTCAGCAAGATCTTAGACAATATTTCAAATGTTTTACATCAGAAGTAGGATTTGATAAACTTTGCAAACAGAAGTAAGATCCATGTAGAGCATCTTTAATAAAGTATATTAGACCTAATTATCAAATCAAATTTACACTCACTTAATTTCACAAAATATTTCGCAACCCACTCATTTTTCTAAAGTAAGGTTACCACTTTCAATATCTCCGGGTAAACTTACTCTACAGTAAGATAAACAATCACCAAAACTTATGAATCTTTCAGCACCAATTTTAATTTCGACCTTTTAAAAGAGCTCCAAATTGATCATTTCCCTGGCATCACAACTATCACGCCTAACCATCGCGTAGGTAGGCGTCACCGTACAGCGTCAAAAAATAGTGGAGTACAGTTTTCTGTACGGTGACGAAAATTAACTGATTTGAAGCAAAAACTATGACATGGGTTTAAAAGAAATTTGATGAAAACTAATACGATTTCATGTGAAATAAAAACAGCATTCTCCTTAGGAATGGTTTTAACTTTGTAATTATGATAAATGTTTTACGAGCACTGTTCGGATTTTTTCTGAGTGAATCGGCCCACATAATCGACCAGAGTGAAAAAAGGTGGTTTTTCACATTTTGTTTGGTTATCATTTTCCCTGCCGTCTGAGAGTATGGATTATTTTTATGAGAATATGTATTTGTCGACTTCACATTTTAGAACGGGCGAAGATTCAACAAACAACCATTCATTATGTATATTTAAAAAATATCAAATTTGTACGGTGACGCATCAGCTGTACGTTGACGATTCATTATAATTTGTGAGAAGTAATATAAAGAATTCATTATTTATTACTTCAAATCACATAAGTTTTGGTGTGGAAGTTCAAATGTTGATCCAATCAAGTATCCCTCGTATACATGTTGTCAAAATGATCAGTGAAAGTTACTGCAGTCACTTTTGCATTTAAGATGGCGGACAGGAAGTGTCGATCTCGATATTTTTAGCTTTCATTGAATTCTCTATAGTTGGCGTTATGCTTTGATGAACTAAATCAAACTAGGCTTATATGAAATGGAAACTCAGGAGTATGATCATTTGTTCATATATAGTGCATGGGCGCTACAATTCAACGATATCTTCCATCGCTTAATGGAAGGTTACTGGAAATGTGTGATACGGTAGGGGTCATGAAACCAAAAACTCAGTATATTTGTTGCTATGTTATTATTGTTTTAAAACAAGGGATGTCACAAGTAAATCTCATCTTGCACGTGTGACTTTTAGGATGAAAGATGCAATATCTTGCATGGGGTAAAGATGGCCATGTAGGCTATCTTTGTTAGTCATATGAGAAAAGCCTGGTCTGTATTTCAAATGATATCAAAGCATTGCGTCAACTTTCAAATAGTTAATTCCATGAAAACTAAAAATATCGAAATTAATACTTACTGTCCACCATCTTAAATGCTAAGGTGACGGCTGTAACCTTCGCTTGATACTTACCAATGATAATGTAGATCTGACGCTTCTTTACCTCTTGTTCGAATAGTAAGCTTAGAGTTGAATGTGTTTCAGTATTTAATCCTTGTTATCAGACATAAGAATTGATCTTTTCAATGTTAAGTTAATACTGAGGTCATATATTACACTTCATGAAATCTAAGGAATCGTCACCGTACAGCAGAAGCGTCACCGTACAGATCTGATCTTTTTTAAATAAATACACTGAATGATTATTTGCCGAATATTCATCTGTTCTAAAATGTGTAGATAACAAATACATATTCTCAAAAAATAGTCCATACTCTCAGACGACAGGGAAAATAATAACCAAACGAAAAGTGAAAAAACATTTTTCTCTCGAGTCGATTGTGTGGGCCGATCCAGTCAGAAAAAATCCGAGCAGTGCTCGAAAAACTTTTATCATAATTAGAAAGTTAAAACCATTCCTAAGAGAATGCTGTTTTTATTACACTCGAAATCGTATTTATTTTCATCAAATTAATTTTTTTAAAACCCCCATTATTGTTTTTGCTTCAACTCAGGTAATTTTCGTCACCGTACAGAAAACTGTACTACTGTATTTTTTGACGCTGTACGGTGACGCCTGCTTACGCGATGGTTAGGCGTGAACTATGAGCTCTTTCTCATGACCTGGAATTTGCGGTCAGATTTGAAATCCGACTTTTTGACCTTTTATATGTCGACATGGGCAAATTTTCAAAATTGTTATTTGGAGTTTAGTATAAGTTAAATCGATCATCGAGAGGGGCCAAAATGTTAAAGTCCCCATGTAAAGTTTAAACCACTTTGGATTATATTGTAGTCTTACCCAATGTTATCTAAGTGTGATATGTGAAACTTTTTTTCAATTTCAAAAAGTGTTTTTTTGTTCAAAAAAATAGTGAATTTATTTAAAACTAACTTTTAGAGGTCACACATATCTTTTAATAAGCCACAATTTATACCAATGCATATAGCATTCATCCTCGTATGTTTTTTGCCGAAAAACTAAGAAAATCGGTTCATAAATAAGGGAGAAATGAATTCATCAGTGCATGAAAATGGTTCAAAGAAAAAAGCATTTCAAAATTCCAGTTCTCATAGAAACCAATGATACAATAATATCTAAAATATAATTTATTCTCTTTTTAATCCTTGTTAGACAATCAACATTGGTTCATTATTGAAGTTTAGCATATTTAGAAAAGATTGACATAGAAAAAGATTTTGCCACTTGAGTGAGTCATAATGACATCACTAATGTTGCACAATATTTTTGATATGTTAAAACATTGAAGTGGCATTTTATTATTGAAATAGTCTGTCCTGAAAATGCTTTCATTTTTCATACAAAAAAATTACTATTGCTATGGTTGCTATAATAATTGCTAGACAATTTTTCTCTGCTCTTCTGAAATGTTTCTCTGTACGTTTAGATCAAGCAGTCCAGATACGACCAAGTAGAACTGCAGGAACTGTACAGCCACTGTGATCCAACATGTCTATGCCTAAACCTATAGAAAACCCGGAGGTGAAATTCACAAAGGTATGTGAAGAAATAACATCAACTAATTCCTAGGATATGAGGCAACATGTTAGGATCAGCAATCTTGAATTGGTGAAATACGGAAAGCCATTAGAATCAAAACTGAAACAGTATAGGAAACAGTTATGATTCCCTAGGTCTTCATCCTAGGTTCAACCGACATATGATGTATAATATAGTAAATATCACTACCTTATCATTTTCAGATCTTCATCAACAACGAATGGGTTGATTCTGAGAGTGGGAAGACATTTGCAACCATCAACCCATGTACTGGAGAGAAGATCGCAGATGTACAAGAAGGTGACAAGGTAACACGCTAAATAACTCAATAAAGATCAACTACTATTTTCGTTTAGAAACTTGCATTTCAATCTGCCATAGGAGTAGCCGGGGTTCAATTTGAAATACATTAAAACGTTTCAACTTGCAAAAATCTTATACTCATACTCAAAGAATTAAATGATTTGAATAGGTCGATGCCAACAAGGCCGTTGCGGCAGCCAAGAAGGCTTTTGAACTTGGATCAGAATGGCGGACGATGGATGCATCTAAAAGGGGAAGACTGCTGAATAAACTTGCTGACCTCTTAGAAGAGGACTTGGCGTATGCTGCGGTAAGTGAGAGATTGTTAACCATAGCAAATACAGGGTGGTCCAAAAAATTGGAACATTTGATAATTGAACTCGAAATCGTTATTATTTCTCTAAAATGCACCAAAGTTTTACTGAGTATTGTTCAATCATTTATTGATCTGATGTACAGTTTATAGGTGCAAACAACAAAGAATTAATGCATTAAACTAGAGAATGTTTGATATGACCCCTTTCTCCTGAATTACAAGTTGAAGCCTAGGACTCAGTTTTGAAATGATTCATTCACTCAATAATAATTTTGGGTATTCCTAAGTTGACAATAACACAATAGTTTTCCAGTAAACCATAGATGTTGATACTTCATGTCAGCTCAATATACAATATGTATAGCAATCAACATGTCCATTAAAGCTTTGAAGTAAAGAATACTTGAAAAAGTAATTGCGAAATTGACAAGTGTATATTTAAGAAAAGGGGGTCATATCAAACATTGACTAGTTTAATGCATTAACTTTGTGGTTTGCACCTATAAACTTTACATCAGAGAGATAAGTGACTGAACTATGCTCAGTAAAAGTTTGGTGCATTTTAGAGGACAAATAAAGATTTTGTGTTCAATTAACAAATGTTACAATTTTTGGACCACCCTGTATATGTTAGATTTGAACATTATCAATTTCGCTGAGTTCGAGTCCTTTTATAGCGTAACGTCATGTGATCTGATATTATTGTACTTAATTAAATGCATTTCGTATCAAAACTTAATCGAATATTGGCGACTGGAATAGATTTTGGGGGATTTTTCCTCATAAAGAAATTCATATTTTACAGAGTTTGGAAACCCTTGACAATGGTAAACCGTTTACCATGTCTTACCATGTGGATTGCACGGGTGCTGTAAAGGAATTGAGATACATGGCAGGCTGGTCTGACAAGATTGTAGGACAAACCATCCCAGTCGGTAAGAGCCTATTTCTCTTTTGAATAAAATAATAAAAATGGTAACCATGTCAATTCAATTTTCAATTCAATTCAATTTGTTTATTTCATAAACACACATACAATATAGTATACAATGAGTGGGTGACACAAGGGTTTGTGTATATTCCCAAGATGGAGTAAATTAAATACAAAGTATGTTGAAATGGCGGGGATCTGCCATTGCATGCCCTCAATAAAAAAAATACAAATTGTGCCATCAAATTGCCCCTAAAAAATTAAAGTTGTTGTCCATAAAAGCAGAAAAATAATACAAATGTATTCTTGTTGAAAGCTTTAGTTTTCCTCAAATACTTATATACAATTTGGGTATTTTTAGAAAATAGACATGATGAAGTACTTGTTAGATCTGATTTTGCTATTTTTGTGATACAAAATGAAAAGATTACCACTTTGTTTTGTTTGTTTTTTATATGAAATTAATAGTTCTGGAAACTCGTGTCTCCTTATAACAATACCTTTTAATAGCACATCTCTACCTTTAGATGGTGATTTCTTCTGCTATACAAGACATGAGCCTATTGGGGTCGTCGGGGCTATCATACCAGTAAGATACATGTATATCAACATTACTGAAAATACAGTTAAACATGAGAGATGTACAATTTGAAACCAATGGATAACAATTGACAATTAGAGTCAGGCGGGGGTCGAACATATGACCCAATTTGAATACACTTGCTTATTAATTTCAACAGATTTTGTATTTTTGTTTTGAAAAACACAGAAAGAAATTTTCTCAATGAGCTATTTCAAGGGCAAATAACCCGAACCTATATATCCATTCGATTTAACGGTTTTTTCGATGACATTTTGATAATCGGTATACATTCATTTCCAGTGGAATTTCCCTCTCTACATCTTGACACAAAAGCTAGGACCTATCTTGGCTGCAGGCTGTACAGTAGTAGTAAAGCCAGCAGAACAGACTCCATTAACGGCGCTTTACTTGGCGTCCCTCATTAAAAAGGTAAATAACATACAGGGTAACTCAAAAATGTAACCCTCTCAATTTGGAATAACCCATATGTCATGAAATCACCATACATATTTGCTTGCGTTAAAAGATTGTTTAACATTGGTTCACTTACATTCCCATCAGACTTTGAGATTTGTAGAAAGCTCTACTATTGGTCTAAGCCTACACTTGAGCTTATAACAGAATAATAGTTCAACGTACTTCTGCTTTGTGTTTCACCATTAGGCTGGGTTCCCTCCAGGGGTAGTGAACATCGTGCCTGGATATGGTCCTTCTGCTGGTGCAACTCTCTCTGAACACTTGGACGTTGACAAAATATCCTTCACCGGTTCAACAGAAGTAGGACAACTGGTTATGCAAGCTGCTGGTAGAACTAATTTGAAAGGAGTAGCATTAGAATGTGGTGGGAAAAGCCCTAACATTGTATTTGCTGATTGTGACAGTGAGTATGTGAGCGAACTTGAAATCAAACTTACTACGATTATGATAGTAGGTGATTTGTCCAACTTACCTGCCAACAATTGATATGTATACATTTTAAATATTACTATCAAAGCATTCAAGCTCATTGAATTCAATCCGTGTATTGCTCTCTTCATCCCAATTTATATAGTATGATTTTGATTATAGTGGACTACGCAGTTGAAATGAGTCACAATGCCCAGTTCTTCAATATGGGACAGGTGTGCTGTGCTGGTTCAAGAACTTTTGTACAGGAGGACATTTATGATTCGTTTGTGGAGAAGAGCGTTGCCAGAGCAAAGAAGCGCACGATTGGCAACCCATTCGACCCTACAACAGAGTCTGGTCCCCAGGTAACAAAATCGTGTACTTTATCATTTCTGTTTTGTGTGTGACTTATATTTTTGAAGATTGAAAATATTTAATGAAACGCAACATGTTGTCGATCATGAGAGTGCTAGGAAACTCCAGTCTAGTACACTACTTAGGTGATCGGTTGTGAATTGGTCATTGACCATTCATGTTTTCATAGTAGATATGACACCAAAGAGTGATGCAGGACGCATTTGTTTTCGGGGTTGGTTACTAACGTCATCTGCTAATATGGAAAGAAAGTCAGACTATTTTTTGGAAATATATTGTATCTGAATTTAAACTACATCTTTATTTTTCAGATTGATGACATTCAGTATGAAAAGATCTTAGAGTTGATTGAGAGTGGAAAGAAGGAGGGTGCTAAGCTAGAATGTGGAGGGGGCAAGAAAGGAGATAAGGGCTATTTTATAGAGTCCACTGTCTTCTCAAATGTCACAGATGACATGAGGATTGCCAAAGAAGAGGTAGGCTTTAGCAAACTTCATAGAAGACGCGTACACTGAGATTCATTCACTGATTCATATAATTAGCGGTGCAATCCATCACCCAAAGCGATCATTTTACATGTTTTTGTTTAGATTTTTGGACCAGTTCAACAGATAATCAAGTTCAAGGATATTAAAGAAGTTATACCTCGTGCGAACAAAACGACATATGGATTGGCATCAGGCGTGTTCACCAAGGATATTGATAAAGCTTTAATGATTGCAAACGCCATGCAAGCTGGCACCGTTTGGTAAGTTTCCAATTTTAAGTGGGAGCTAAAATCTTAAAATGACAACTTCCGCACTTGAAATTGATTTACTACTGAGGATGCTCCTCTGACGTCAAATGGTCATATTGATTTATGCAATAAAAAGATCCCCAGTTCCTGGTCCGACCGACCCTTGTAATAATGCATGTGTCAAAAATATGAATATTGTAGAAATGCTATTGAGTGAAAAGGTGCAAATTATTTTCCTATATTTCCGAGGGGAGATTTTCCGAAAATGCGGCAGTCACTTTTTGTTTTATTATACTACTTCTTCATTAGTACTTTTCATCTTCCCTGGAAGCAGTAACTTAGGGTTTTCTAGGGAATGAGTTCATTCTGCTTATATATTTTAGGGTGAATACATTCCTTGCTGGTGGTGGAGCACATGCTCCGTTTGGAGGTTACAAGATGTCCGGTGTAGGAAGAGAACAGTACGTTAAACATTTGATTATACCACCCATTATCCATTCAGAACAAAACTAGATATAATCTAAATGTACATAAATTGGAGACTTACTACTATACTAAAATACATGTTCAACTCGGATCAGTATGCCCGTTTAACGTAACGGATTCTTAACTTATTTGCCATTTTAATCTAAGCTCGATGTTGCATTGCATTTGTCTTTTTTCGTCTATTTCAGAGGAAGTTATGGAGTAGATGAATATCTTGAAATCAAAACCGTAAGCTATTTCTTTTATTCAACTGGAAAAAACAAACAAAGGTGCATTTTGTATGGACATGCCTAAACATTCGACCATTATTCACCTGTTAGTCAGTCAACTGTGCAGTTGAAGCTCAATGATAATGTTGATGAATTCTATGATTATAGATTACAATGATCTTTTCAATAACATCAACAAGGATATACCAGATAGATGGTATTTTTACAAACAATATTCAAGTTTTACCTTATTTTTGCATGAAAAGACAACTATCTCCAATTTTCCTATGACATAATCAATATAGCCAATATACTATATGATAGCTTATTTGATGTAGCAACTGGTTTGGATACATGGTGTGAATGGTGCCACACGTTTAGAAAGTATTTCATAAGTATATCTTATCAATTTGAATTCATTATTTTGTTCTCCCTGTATTCGTCACCATCTTGTGTTTACTATAATTTTACTTTTGATGAAATTATTATTTCATATTCATAATAGAACTAGCCTAAATAAATTAAATTTAAACATTATTTTCAGGTGGTTGTCAAGATTCCACAAAAGAACTCGTAAGACCTGATCAAACACAATTGAACAACGACCGGATGATGTTACACTCTCTTCACATTTTAATCTCATGTTATGGTTGGAGATGTCTTACAGCTAAATATCAACAATTGTAGAATGATATCTAGAACATACATCTAGAAAATTCAAAAGACAATAGTTTTACCATGAAATATCATCTCTTCCTTTGCAGAACACGTTCTTTATCTTCCGCAGCGCAACAAATCATCTTATATTGGCTTGGACCTTGTATTTGGGTTATCCACAGTAATAAACAGATTCTGAATCACGTTGTCAACGTTAACTTTATGTTTACTATAGTTATATTGTGATATCTTCAAACATTAAAAGTTTTGCATTAACTATTTTATATGATGATTGAATAAAGAAATATTTTGAAATATTAACTATGTTGTATTAGAGATGAGACGGACGAAAACTATATGTTTACAGAAAAACAGCACTCAGAGACGTTTTTCAGTATGTGCAGAATTAAATGTTAAGCCTTGCATCAAGTCTCTGTATCCCTCCCATCCCATCTTCCATTTATATTTGACCTCCAGCCTGTTGAGGTGAGGTATACGAGTATATTGGGGGTTCATGTACTAGTAGCTATAGCAAGAAAGACCAACATCGAGTGCAACCTGTATACAGGGTGTCAAATAAGTCCCGTCCCCCTGCTACATCTAAAATCTTAACAGAAGGTACCTAGTGTGATATACCATTGGAAAGATCATCCAAAGTTATGTTAACTCACCAACTCTCAAGTATTTTGAATGAAATTTTTATGATGTCTTTTAAAATTAACGTGCCCTCCTTTAAGTAGCTTTTTTGCGTCAAAATGACAAGGATATGACCTCAGAAATACATCAAAAAGTTAATCTTTTTCACATTCCACTTGTTACAAAAAGGGTTTCACCACTCTCCTTGCACCTCTATTTTCTACACATCTAACCCTATCCAGAAATAGGTTAAATTCATCGCCATAAACATATTTAGTCATATTTTGGTCCCGTGACCTTTCTTATACACGATTTTTAAAATCGTGCCAAATACGCCAAATTGTCATATTTCTAGGCATATGGTAACCTCAATTGATACAATGTAAAATTTCTGAGACGTGTCAAATATATGCCAATCAACGTGACTTTGGAAGATCTTTCCAATGATATATCACACTTGGTACCAAATATCTTGGTTTTGGCTGTAGAGGGGGACGGGACTTATTTGACACCCTGTAGATGTAACATAGAAATATTATCATAGTTAATGCCATTTGTACGGTTCCTTCCATTTGAAATTAGTGAAGGTAAGGTTGATCATTACATGGAGTCGTGTCATGAAACTTACCAGAACTTTAATTCATACACGATTACCACCAAAAAAAGTTGGAATATTAAACGTTTATGACCAACAGTGTTTAAAATATGGTTGCTACTGTACAAAATTGTATAGCATTGTTGATAAGGATATATGTCACGATATAGGTTTTATTCAATTAAGTGCAAGGCAAAGATAACTACAATGTATCTTACAAAAGTCTAAGTCCAAAAGTAGCACAAAATAAATAACCCAAAAATCGCTAACCAAGATCGTGACACTGATGTTGATAAGGTATCTGACACACTTTCAAAGGTCAAGTAAAACACTATTCGTATCTTTGTCAATTACTTTACAATGTTAAAGAAAACGCCCCATTTTTCAATTCTATGTTAAATCTTGACCAGTTTCGATTTTGACATCATGCTTGATATCACGCGAATTACCACCAGTGATGTTTGCGTTTAAAGATATGCCTGATTTGCACCATATTGGTCCCTGGTCCTTATACCTGAGTATAACTGACTTTGATTCAGTTGCAAAAGCAACAAAACTTGTGACAGTTTCAATGACTTGCTGTATTTTGTTCACTCTTTGGATAATTTGTCCCGGGAATTTGGTAAGGAATTACAGCTAGCCCCCTCGCATACAGATTTCGAGGTTCCAATATCACGCAAGAACGTTTCTTGTGTTAATGGAAATTACAGAGTTGCGGTTGGGTGTATAAGCTTACTTAAAACATTTTTTATCAACATCAACACTGTATTATTTAAGGAATATAGACCGAGTTTAAATGATTTATGGGGTAATATATAACCGAAGATTTTATTCTGTTCATTATTAAAAGACCGAAATCGCGTAGCGATTGAGGTCTTTGGCAATGGCCAGAATAAAATTTGAGGTCATATACTGTAGCGACATAAATCATAAAATCTAGGTCTTTGTTACATCTAATATGATAAACAGCAAAGAATCACGACTATTTGCATTTAAGAATTTTAGCGGTCATACATACTCCAATATAGACCAGTAAATCAATTGCTCTAGCTATTGTGACGTTACGTATCATATTAGGATTTTCTATTTAAGAACTTATTAGTCTATATTTGGGAGAATTTAAACATTTTTCACCCATTTTTGCAGATGGATCTTTTTGGTAGATATTGTATTTGAGATTGTAAGGAATAGATTGGTGAGTCTAGTTCAATATCCTAGATGCGAGCAGAAATAATCTTGATTTACGTCATTAAAAATTCAAAATTCAGTCAAACTGTTGTCATATTCGGAATCTACATGTAAAATTCCATCTAGAAATGTGGTTTTGAAAAGATTTTATCAACTTTGAAAATCTAATTTTCTTTGAAAATGTGACTTCTAAGTCGGGGAGATTCCCCATAGACCCCATGTTGTAAAGTCACAAAAAGTGAAATATCTTGTGTTGGGCATATGATATATAGGTTATTTACTGGGAAGGATTGAATATGGGTTTTATTCCGAGGGACAATATGATATTGACCGAAGGGTAATATGATATTGACCGAGGGAGCGCAGCGACCGAGTGTCAATATGATATTTCCCAAGGTCAATATCATATTTTCCGAGGAATGAAACCCATATTCAATCCCGACCAGAAATAACCTATTTATTCCATAATACATTCCACTAAAATGTTACATTTTGAAAATGCTTTTATCAATTAGGTAAGGTTAAAAATAACAGGAAAACCAAAAATAGGTTAGTACGTTCCAATACGATTTTTTCCCGGGGACAATACGATTTTTTCATGTGATACGCTCCAATACGATTTTTTCCCGGGGACAATACGATTTTTTCATGTAATACGATTCAATACGATTTTTATTCCTTCATAATTCCCTTGGAAAACAGTAGTATTAGATCTATGGAATAATTTCTTTTATTATGCACCTCATTAAAATACTCAAATCTGATTGGTTAAGAGCTGCAGGGTCTATTGCCATACGTGGCAGCAAGATCTCGTTCTATCCAGTATTGAAGCAACGAGATCTCCAACCATCCCGTATACCAGAATACCTATCCTCGAAAAAATAATTTCGACGAGTCCAATTGTCGATGACGTCATTTTCTTAGAATCTCTTCCATGTTGAATTTGAGACGAATGCGAGGGAGAAATGATTTGCGTGATATGAGAGAAGGGGATTTCTATTCAATTTGCTTGTAATTTTGTCACCCCTAGATCTGATTCTGCCTTTAATATCTGGTCTGTTGATTAATGGCATAGCTTGTTACACGCCTTACCATCGACAAGGTACAGTCACGTGACAGTGACAAAATATACCGTAGTACACTTTTGATGTACTATGTCACTATTAACTGATTTTAAGCAAAGACTATGATGTAGGTTTGATGCAGGTTTTCAAAAATAAATTTGAGGAATACATAAAGCATTTCATGTTTGATTTCGCGTGTATTCGATTTCAAAGACATTTATTTTTCTAATTACGTTAAAAGATCTTCGAGCAGTGCTCGATTTTTTTCGTTGTAACATGGACGTATATCATCAGTCTACCCATACAATTGTTTGGTTGGAAAAATGTTGTTTTTTACACATTTCCTTTGATAATTTTCTCCATTGACGTCTCAGAGTGTCGAATATTTTTATGAGAATGTGTTTCTCTAAACTACACAGTTTAAGACGGGTGAAGATTTAATAAATATTCATGCATTTGGTATAATTTAAAAAATCAGAAATGTACGTTGTCAACTCACAGTGTATGTTGTCCCTGTAATTGAAATTCAACGAACATGCTACTGTATCCCTAGTACAGATAAACAGGTAAAAGTGATTTTTTCGTTGAATGCTATTTTATTTTATGAAAGTGTTAATATGGTGATTAATATGTGACCATGGCGTGTTATTTTCCGACCTCTTTGACCACTTGGCGTCGGTACGTTACGTTATGTTTAGTTGCATGGAGAGATCTATACTAGCTAATCCAAGATGACTTTCAAAATTTATGCTACAGGGTGTCCCGAAAGTATGGGCCCCCTAGGCAGACATATACCAATGTCTCCATAGTATGTGTCATATATCATTTTAAAGCTCATCCAAAGTTACATTAATTTGCCGAGTATCATGGTTCAACTCACAAATGGAAACAAGTTACAGGAATTTCAAAAGTTAGTGTTTGGCCAAAATTAAAGTCAGTTTTACACCAAAGCAATAGTCGGTGTGTCTCCTTAGCCGCCATGTTAACAGCAGCAATACTTTCCATATATGACCTTAAACAGGCTTCTAATAGGGATATGGCGTTTTGTTATCCTCATAAAACCCTTTTAAGGCATAAGAAGAGTTTCCTTGGAGTATCTACCCTAAACGTCATCTTTTTAGAACTCAATATCCATCCTATATTCGAGAATAGCATCTATATTTTCTGTCACATTCAGGTCAGGGCTGTTTCCAGGATACTGAAATCTTTTTGGCAAAACTCTAATTTTTAAAATGCCTGTTACTTTTTACCATTTGAACCATCATATGTAACTTTGGATAAGCTTAAAAATGATATATGACACATACAACTATGGAGAAATTGGTATATGTCTGCCTAGGGGGGGGGGCAAACTTTGGGACACTCTGTATATCTGGAAAGTGCAGAAGTTCAAAAGCCAGGTTATGGAACACAAAAAAAGAATTAGTAACATTGAAATTTAATCATATCAATGACAATTTTATGGATTAACGGACAAAATATTAGAGTAAATATATCTGATATGCCTATCATGATTATCACTTTATTATCAAATATGTTCCTTCTATTACACGTACATTATAGCATTTCATTCACTGTAAAATTAACTGTGAATTGAGATCTGTAAGGCCAATGTGACAACATACATTCGAGTTGACAACATACATTATCTATTTTTCGTAGTAGCATCCAAAGTAAAAGGCGGTTTTGCATTAACTCTGGATGTATATTTGTATACTTATCTTAAGTTGTGTTAGTCGTAGTTTGGCTGTTATTTGCATAGCAAAACAAAAATTAGAGAGAATTTTGCGAAATTCAGTCAGGATTTAGAGATCCCTGACGTACTGGGTAGATCTATAACAAGATGTTGAAGTTGCTGAGGATCATTTGAAGTAGATATGCACATTTGCAACTTAATTACAAATCGAATGCAACAACTACCTGATGATGAACTGACACAATATTGATCAAATCAATGCTAGTTCCTGCCTCGCTTCTTCATTCTAGAAAATGGCGATCTAAAATGGCGGAAATGACATAGTACATCAAAAGTGTACTACGGTATATTTTGTCACTGTCACGTGACTGTACCTTGTCGATGGTCAGGCGTGTGTTATAGACATCAAGATAATTAAGGAATATGCTAAATATATAAGCACTAGTGCCAAAGGGAAAGGACTAAAAGTTGTAATGGAACTTATCAAACTCTAAGTGTCTGATACCCCCTTGGCCGCCACCATTCAAGAACCAATATCACAATCCAGGACCAGTCTAAGACCAAGGCCGGGGCATTTCATTCATACTGAAGTCATTACATAGATTAAAACATCACAACGACGTGTTGTATTCGTAAACTAGCCGGTGAAAATTATTACAAACGAAGGTGGTAAATCTGTCATCTAAGCTGGGGTTTTCCCTCCTCTTTGTTGGCCTCTGTTGGCATTGACTATCCTTAAAGCCCGGGCCTGTAGCAGACATTAAAATCGTACCGAACGAAAAAAAGACAAATGCCCGGATGTTATGTGATACTAAAATACACCTAGATATAATGCCTAACAAAAAAAAACTTAGCCACTTGCACTTCGTTCTAATACTATTTGATGTGTGATTTTGGGATAAAATATTATTATATACATTCAATTATTTCAGTGTTTTCCTGAAATTTATATGGAAATAGGAAAATGTTTGTGTTGAAATTTCAGATGATAAAATAGGGTTGGCATTTTTCAGATTGCTTATAACTCCTTACCTCCGTTTCTTGTTTCCTTAAGGGTCTTAAATAAATTTTCAAAAAATAAATTTGCATTTCTATATAAATTTATATATATCATCAAAAACCAAAATACCTTTTAATGCAATAAAACACATATAAATTCCCGAGGACTCCAATTGAGGTGTGTTTTAGTATCGCCCCCGGATGTTGTTGTAATTCGATAATGAAAAATTCTTGATTTTCACATATTTTGATTTATTACAAATGATTAATAAACATTTGAAGGTGGAGAACAGCATAAGATCGATGAAGTTTATACAGCGATTCCATTGGGATATACCATATGCGATACAACCATCAATCTGGTAGGTTGAACTCCAATCAAAAATATTGTTCGTCAATTTTCAAATTTTCTTCCATTTTTGCCATAGGCAGGCGCGTATCGTGGTCATTTTGCAAGGGTACGCCCCTGTATGTGGATGAATAATGTGTGAAGATGAATGCGATTTTTGGCGTATGATTTTTCGTGCAGACAGCTACCATAGGTCTTATATTTGGCCAAACACCCTCAATGAGAGTTTGTTTTCTCTCTACAGAAGTAATACACTCCCTTAATGAATTTGCATCGATAATGTTGTCATAGCTGGGGCCATTTCTGCAATAGACGTGGTATTAATTAATTGATTAGTAACCCGTGAATTACAGGCCCCCAAAAATAAAAACACTTCACCAGACGAAAATAGAGAAAGTCGTCTGCACAAGGCCGTGCGAATTTGGAAATGCTCTATCAATGGCTTAAGGTCTCATGGAAGTTAACAGGAAATGACAAAACAAAAAATGACAAAGCCATGCTGGATTTTGAAAATTTTTTGAACCAAGATAACAGAGTTCTGTTTGGACCTCCAGTCAGTTTAACTAGTTCCAAATATCATTTACATGACCAGGAACACAATTGAAATGGTCAGAATGACCATAAACATGATAAAATAACCTTTTAAGCCCTCTGAAAATGTGACTGAAAAATAGCTAAAAGTAGGTGCTCAGGAAAGGTCAATGAACAGAATCATTTGATTTTTTCAGAATATGTGTCCAATATATTGCTCTAAATGACACAATCTTTGAAATTTTAAAAAATCGTCTGAAACAATAATGGCTGTAGTAAAAAGGAAAATAGATCGATTTTCAATTCAGTTTTTTTCAATTTTTTCTTTTTCTAAGAATGATATCAAATTTTTTTGAATTGTATCATTTAGAGCAATATATTGGGCACATTTTCTGAAAAAGTCAAAATATTCTGTTCAGTGACCTTTCCTGAGCACCTACTCTTAGCTATTTTTTAGTCACATTTTCAGAGGGCTGAAAAGGTTATTCTATCATGTTTATGGTCATTCTGACCATTTCAACTGTGTTCCTGGTCATGTAAATGATATGTGGAACTAGTTAAACTGACTGGAGGTCCAAACAGAACTCTGTTATCTTGGTTCAAAAAATTTTCAAAATCCAGCATGGCTTTGTCATTTTTTGTTTTGTCACTTCCTGTTAACTTCCATGAGACCTTAATCAATGTAGTTAAAACTAAATCCACTTATCGTACGGTTTAAATGATTAAATTACTTATTACATTCAATAATGTCAAGTGATACTCAGGTTTTTATACGTACTGAATTTGCTGATTTTGAGCGTGTACTCTGCCGGGATTCGCCATCATCCCCATACGGCCTTGAAGAAGCGTACAAGAATGACGCAACTCTTTGAATCAAAAATTTGAATCTTTGAATCACGAAAACAGTGAATGACAATGAGGGAATCGAGAACTTATTAGTGTTAATACACTTGTACAACAAAGGTTTACACATCATCAAAGAAAATAACAGTAAAATACTGAATTTCATGTTTTTTTCAAAATATTTTTTCAAATTCAAACAGTACGCCTGGGCGTATTTTGCGTACATGACGACACGCGCCTGATAGGCCCAGGTTAAGTACTGAAGTAATCCATACATATAATTCATATGCATGGATTACTACAGTACGTAACCTGGGCCTATGATATTACCCAAGCCTTTCTAGGCTAGTCAAGTTATTTACTCCTGTAGCCAAAATTTACCAAGTAGGGGGTCTATTTTTACCTTGGACGCGGGTTCATTTTTATAACGATACGGGGGAGGAGGGTTGAGAAGGGCTGGAGGAGGTTTGCACAACAGAAATAGTTTCAAGGAACCAATCAAATATAGTATGTGTATTCTCAAATAGCTAGTATAAATGTGCGATTGATTGCTAGCGCAAAAATAGTCATCTTTCTGGGATTGGGGTTTGTTGATCTTGCAGAAATGGGGTTGTTCCTGGCTAGGGATTTGTTTTATAACGAAAGGGGTCAAGGGAGATGGTTGCACGAACCCCATGAACTCCTCTCGCTTTGCCCATGTAGATCTGAGCCAGACATTTTCCAATGGAAAAACTGGGTGATGTACTATTGACAAGACACACTGCTTGTTAATGTACAATATGCAATGATATATAATAAATATTATTATATTTATGTGTTTGTTCCTGGTATTACAATTTGTATTTCTAGTATGTTTCCAAATAAATAAGAAATGAATAACGAAATGAAGCAAAAACAAAATTCCTTATGCAAACTGTGTGTGATTACGTAGAATATCGAATACCCTTGAGAAGTTTCGATTGCTTATTCAATTGATTCCATTTAGTATAACAAAACAACAGGAATCTTGAAATATCTCACATTAATTGTATGTACTGTTATCCATCATATTGGTGACTGGTGTCCAATTCAACTCCAAGTAAGATACATCAGTTTTATGAAGTAATCTTCGGAGAAATGCATCTTCGTTCTACAAAAGATTAAATCATGTCACACTCGTGATACATCACATCACCTGACATTATTGGGCAAAAATTAAAAGAGAGTTGACAAAATTTTGAGCACATTTCTACATCAAAATAACCAACAAAACACCACATTTGTGTGTAAGTTATTCACTATTTATTACAAGTAAGTGTTTAGGTTTGCATTGAACACAATATTTGTGTTTGATGGCTAAGGGTTTTTTCCATTAGAGCTTGTCTGGCCCAGTTCTGCATTTGAAGCATTCTCAGGCATGGGGTGTTTTAAAATACGAAATTCCAACTAATATGAAGTAATAAAATGTAAATTATTGGCCATTTTTATCTAATATTGATAATTACATGAACCAGTTTTTAAACGATGGCACAAAATAGGTGCAAACAACACAGTATTAAGAACAAAACATTTGTTTTGACATTTTGCTTTCAAATATTTTATGATGTTATCTTTCAGAAATCATTTAATTCTGCCCTTATAAAAGTGAGTTTCATAACATTGATGATTGCAATATGATGGAAGAAGTGAATATGAGTAATATTGGCACTGATGAGAGCTGTGACAATTTGGATTATGACAGTTTTGATGATCAGAAGTTTGAACCTCCAGCGGAACGTTGGGCTCCTCTTGGTGCTAGTGCAAGCCCAGGACCAAGTGGAAATGAAGAATACAACAGGTAGCAATCTCATGCATATTAATATCATGACAGTTTGAAATGAAATTGAAAATGTTAAAGCTCTTAAAAGCTAGTCAGAAAATAAAACTATAACCACACACAAGACTTTCATGTCATAAACAGTCGTCCACATTTTACCAATCGAATATACTCTAACTTTACACACTGTGTTCCACCAGTACATGTAGTTGCTGATAACTTTTGTAATGATTTGAATATAAAGCTTATGTATCTGATTTTATATATTTTTACCAGGTGTGCAGTTTAAACAATTTGTTACAAAACTATATGGAAATCTTACTATCTTACATCTTTTCGAAAATCATGAGTAAAACTTAGTTTACTATGTGTTTGTAATTTGAATTTTAAAATATATTTAGCTCAACCATATTTCATATTCTACAAAGATTTGTCAATAAATGAAGATGTTTATATACATTGCGTAGGACAATGTTGTGCACAACAGCGCACATAGCGGAAGACTGTCCATGGCTTGTGAAAGTCCTGTGTTATCAGTGCATACAATTGGCCCAGTGTCAGTGACCCAACCTAATATTAAGATTATGTAATCAGGAAGTTCAATAAGTTTATGCAAAAATACTGTGAAATTTAGGCTAAGTGATACAATGTATAATGTCAGCCTCTATGAAATTTTCACATTAAAATAATTGTCTATCCATCTGCCAACAATTTTTGAACAGATGAAAACTGCAAATTGTCTAAACCAACAAATGTTTATATCCATTTCAATGGGGGTCTTATGCAGCTTATGCTGGTAATTACACCATTAGTCCTGAAGGCCATTGCTCAAAAATATTTGTTACTAGAGAGTTGTAAAAGTAACGAGTAAGTAAATGAGATCATTAATATCCATTCCAAAACAAAAATAAAAGGTAACGTCCCCCTTGATCATTAACCCCCACCATTAAAAGCTTTTTCAGCAATCAGTGATGTTAATCATCTTTATTTCTAGTGATTCTGTTCTCTTTATCTCTAGTAATCCTATTGTTCTTTTTATCTCTAGTGATCCTATTGTTCTCTTTATTTCTAGTGATCTTATTGTTCTCTTTATCTCTAGCAATCCTATTGTTCTCTTTATTTCTAGTGATCCTATTGTTCTCTTTATCACTAGTAATCCTATTGTTCTCTTTATTTCTAGTATTCCTATTCTTCTCTTTATTTCTAGTGATCCTATTGTTCTCTTTATTTCTAGTGATTCTGTTCTCTTTATTTCTAGTGATTCTTTTGTTCTTTTTATCTCTAGTGATCCTATTGTTCTCTTTATCTCTAGTGATCCTATTGTTCTCTTTATTTCTAGTGATCCTTTTGTTCTTTTTATCTCTAGTAATCCTATTGTTCTCTTTATCTCTAGTGATCCTATTGTTCTCTTTATCTCTAGTAATCCTATTTTTCTTTATTTCTAGTATTCCTATTCTTCTCTTTATTTCTAGTGATCTTATTGTTCTCTTTGTCTCTAGTTATCCTATTGTTCTCTTTATTTCTAGTATTCCTATTCTTCTCTTTATTTCTAGTGATCCCTTTGTTCTCTTTATCTCTAGTGATCCCATTGTTCTCTTTATTTCTAGTGATTCTGTTCTCTATTTCTAGTGATCTTATTGTTCTTTTTATCTCTAGTAATCCTATTCTTCCTTTTATCTCTAGTGATCTCATTGTTCTCTTTATTTCTAGTGATTCTGTTCTCTTTATATCTCTAGTGATCCCATTTTTCTCTTTATTTCTAGTGATCCCACTCATACAGATCAACTACAAAAACTTGAAGAGGAACAAGAGCAGCTAAACTCCTCCCTACTAGCCCTAACTACCCACTTTGCACAGGTCCAGTTCCGCCTGAAGCAGATCATCACAGCTCCCTCAGACGATAAAGAGGTATATTTAGACTTTTTGGGTGAAAGGCTATATTAATAGTTTCACTGTCCAAAATGATGCTGTTTTCTTTACAGTTGTTCAGAAGTTAGGTCCAATTTATATCTAGGTCAAAATAAAAAATGTTGCAATTAATTGGTAAGAAAAAATACTCGTGGTTAGAGATGTGATCTAAAATAACTTCACTTCCCATACCATACCTAGTGATTTGGTATAGAGTTAGCCCAGAATAATGTTTATAATCCTTGCCTTCTGCCATAAGAAGGTCTTGACCCATCTTTTATATATCTGAGTGTCTAAAAAAAGGTCAAGTTTTGTGCTGTATTTTCAGAGTCTCCTTAAGGAATTGGAAGAGTTTGCATTTAAAGGCATTCCAGATGTACGGGGGTCACATATCCAAGATGCCCTCAACTTAGAAGAATTAGTAAGACCTTTCTTTTGGTACTATACATATTTAAAGGGGGTGGCCCAAATACAGATCTGCTCAAAAGTTTGACACTTTGTGTGGGAATCACAAATTCAGACAAGTGCATTTCTGAACATGTTTAGATCATTTTACACAAGAAAATTTCCCCAATTCACAAGTGCCACAAAAGTTTATAACTGTTTCATGCATCCACCAGGCTATCTACATCTACATGAAATTTAATAAAATGTTAAGGAAATAACTCTGAATGAAACTCAGATACATTATGATTGATTGTCTTGTTGTTTCTATCTTGTGTTTGTATTCATCAGTTCACATTCTTGTGAATTTCCTTGTAGAGTGACAAAGAGCACGAAAAAAAGATAACGGAACAACGCAAGAAACAACAAGAACTAATTGCCCAACTCAAATCACAGCTTCAAGATCTTGAGAGCTTTGCATATGAGGTAAGGTTAACATGTTCTATGTTTGTATCAATTCTTTTTAAATAAGTGTCTGTAAAAACTGACAATGAAAGACAAAATGCAGTTCATCTTTTACAGAATTATGTTCACATCAACAGCATAATCCTTCCTCTATTTCTTCATCGACCCATTTCTTATTACTGATTCACGCCCGGTGACCGTGAATATGGGACGGAGGGGGGGAGCAGGCAATTTCTGCTAGAAAATTCAACAAATCTGGTAAAATTATTTTTTCAAGACAGAGTTTAAGATTGAATTGCATATTGAATAAGGGCACGGTATGATAAAATATGTTAGGTATTCTAGGATTATTTTTCAACCGATACTCTTTTAAGATATAAGATCTATTAAAAAAGGAGCAACACAACCAACGTGCAAAAGTCAAAGTTTTTGCTATAAATCAAGCAACAATGGACTACACGACCTGTAATAAATACTTGTAAGTGATGTTATCATAACTAAATTAATGTCTTTGCTGAATTTATAAAATAAGTTTCCATACGTAAAATATAAAAATAATCGAAAATAATTAAAATGGGACGGAGGGGGGGAGGGGACGGAGGGGGGAGTAATAATTCTATAAAGTGAAACAACTTCACACGAATTCTTGTATTTGAAAAATGAACTCATTAACTTAGTAAGAAACTGGATGATATACCCCTGGAGACTGAAAAATGGGGACATTTGGAGTAAAAGGACTTAAAGTCGCGAAACATCTCTAATCATGTCTTATATACATATTGCTCCCCCCCTCCGTCCCCTCCCCCCCTCCGTCCCAAATTCATTATTTTCGATTATTTTTTATTTCACATATGGAAACTTATTTTATAAATTCAGCAATGACATTAATTTAGTTATGATAACATCACTTACAAGTATTTATTACAGGTCGTCCAGACCATTGTTGCTTGATTTATAGCAAAAACGTTGATTTGTGCCTGTTGATGGCCTTGCGCCTTTTTTAATAGATCTCATACCTTAGATGCGTATCGTTTCAGAAAAAATCCCAGAAAACCTAACATATTCTACCATACCGTGCGCCTATCCATTTAGCAATTCAATAGTAAACTTTTTCTTGAAAAAATAAATCTTCCAGATTTGTTGAATTTCCTAGCAGAAATTGCCTGCTCCCCCCCTCCGTCCCATATTCACGATCACAGGACGTGTGATTGGCCTTTGAAATAATAACAAGTTGGAGAATTTTATAGAATTTTAGGTGTGACCTTGAATTGCACAAGTAAAAACAATGTTATGTGATAAAACAGTTTGATTGATTCCTTTTAGACAGGAGATGGAGAGCTTCCAACAAGTGTACAGATGGAGAAGCATCAGGCAATGATTGAACAATTCAAAAATAAGTTAGATCTCAATATAGAGGATTTTGACCAGAAAAGTACAGAGGAGCTGAAACAAGCAGTGGACCAAGCCATCAAACAAGTAAAGCAGGTTTTATTATACCTATATTAGGTGTGTCTTTCTTGTTCTTTCAAATTTCATCTGCACATTTCTTAGCAAACTTCTTCATTGATCAAGAGTCTGAAAAGTCTGAAACTGCCAGCAACACACCAAGGCAGCCATGTCCAGCTTAACTACACAGCCAATATAATTATGTCACCACCAAAAGTGGTGACATATTGTTATGGTCTCCGTTTTTTTGCGACGGCGGTTGGTGGTTGGCGTCCGGCGGTTGGCGTCCGGCGGTTGGCGTCTGTAACAATTTCTTACAACTTCCTATAACTTAACAAATACTGTTTAGACTGACTTCAATTTTTTTCTAAATCATCTACATGTTCTCAGAAGTTCAAATCTGACTTTAGATTTGACATTTGACCTTCAATGACCTTCTCAAGGTCAAAAAGGTCTTTTTTCAACTTGCTTCACATTGACTAAATTTTTTTTCAAAATCATCTACATGTTCTCAGAAATTCAAATCTGACTTTAGATTTGACATTTGACCTTCGAATCTGACTGTAGATTTGACATTTGACCTTCAATGACCTTCTCAAGGTCAAAAAAGGTCAAAAAGGTCTGTTTTCAACTTGCTTCAAATTGACTAAATTTTTTTTTCAAAATCATCTACGTGTTCTCAGAAATTCAAATCTGACTTAAGATTTGACATTTGACCTTCAATGACCTTCTCAAGGTCAAAAAAGGTCAAAAAGGTCTGTTTTCAACTTGCTTCAAATTGACTAAAAAATCTTTTCAAAATCATCTACGTGTTCTCAGAAATTCAAATCTGACTTTAGATTTGACTTAAGATTTGACATTTGACCTTCAATGACCTTCTCAAAGTCAAAAAAGGTCAAAAAGGTCTTTTTTCAACTTGCTTCAAATTGACTAAAATTTTTTTTCAAAATCATCATGTTCTCAGAAATTCAAATCTGACTTTAGATTTGACATTTGACCTTCAATGACCTTCTCAAGGTCAAAAAAGGTCAAAAAGGTCTGTTTTCAACTTGCTTCTAATTGACTAAATTTTTTTTTCAAAATCATCTCCGTGTTCTCAGAAATTCAAATCTGACTTAAGATTTGACTTAAAATTTGACATTTGACCTTCAATGACCTTCTCAAGGTCAAAAAAGGTCAAAAAGGTCTGTTTTCAACTTGCTTCAAATTGACTAAAAAAATTTTTCAAAATCATCTACGTGTTCTCAGAAATTCAAATCTGACTTTAGATTTGACTTAAGATTTGACATTTGACCTTCTCAAAGTCAAAAAAGGTCAAAAAGGTCTTTTTTCAACTTGCTTCAAATTGACTAATTTTTTTTTTCAAAATCATCTACATGTTCTCAGAAATTCAAATCTGACTTTAGATTTGACATTTGACCTTCAATGACCTTCTCAAGGTCAAAAAAGGTCAAAAAGGTCTGTTTTCAACTTGCTTCTAATTGACTAAATTTTTTTTTCAAAATCATCTCCGTGTTCTCAGAAATTCAAATCTGACTTAAGATTTGACTTAAGATTTGACATTTGACCTTCAATGACCTTCTCAAGGTCAAAAAAGGTCAAAAAGGTCTGTTTTCAACTTGCTTCAAATTGACTAAAAAAAATTTTCAAAATCATCTACGTGTTCTCAGAAATTCAAATCTGACTTTAGATTTGACTTAAGATTTGACATTTGACCTTCTTAAAGTCAAAAAAGGTCAAAAAGGTCTTTTTTCAACTTGCTTCAAATTGACTAATTTTTTTTTTCAAAATCATCTACATGTTCTCAGAAATTCAAATCTGACTTTAGATTTGATATTTGACCTTCAATGACCTTCTCAAGGTCAAAAAAGGTCAAAAAGGTCTGTTTTCAACTTGCTTCTAATTGACTAAATTTTTTTTTCAAAATCATCTCCGTGTTCTCAGAAATTCAAATCTGACTTAAGATTTGACTTAAGATTTGACATTTGACCTTCAATGACCTTCTCAAGGTCAAAAAAGGTCTGTTTTCAACTTGCTTCAAATTGACTAAAAAAATTTTTCAAAATCATCTACATGTTCTCAGAAGTTCAAATCTGACTTTAGATTTGACATTTGACCTTCAATGACCTTCTCAAGGTCAAAAAGGTCTTTTTTCAACTTGCTTCACATTGACTAAATTTTTTTTCAAAATCATCTACATGTTCTCAGAAATTCAAATCTGACTTTAGATTTGACATTTGACCTTCAAATCTGACTTTAGATTTGACATTTGACCTTCAATGACCTTCTCAAGGTCAAAAAAGGTCAAAAAGGTCTGTTTTCAACTTGCTTCTAATTGACTAAATTTTTTTTTCAAAATCATCTCCGTGTTCTCAGAAATTCAAATCTGACTTAAGATTTGACTTAAGATTTGACATTTGACCTTCAATGACCTTCTCAAGGTCAAAAAAGGTCAAAAAGGTCTGTTTTCAACTTGCTTCAAATTGACTAAAAAAAATTTTCAAAATCATCTACGTGTTCTCAGAAATTCAAATCTGACTTTAGATTTGACTTAAGATTTGACATTTGACCTTCTCAAAGTCAAAAAAGGTCAAAAAGGTCTTTTTTCAACTTGCTTCAAATTGACTAATTTTTTTTTTCAAAGTCATCTACATGTTCTCAGAAATTCAAATCTGACTTTAGATTTGACATTTGACCTTCAATGACCTTCTCAAGGTCAAAAAAGGTCAAAAAGGTCTGTTTTCAACTTGCTTCTAATTGACTAAATTTTTTTTTCAAAATCATCTCCGTGTTCTCAGAAATTCAAATCTGACTTAAGATTTGACTTAAGATTTGACATTTGACCTTCAATGACCTTCTCAAGGTCAAAAAAGGTCAAAAAGGTCTGTTTTCAACTTGCTTCAAATTGACTAAAAAAAATTTTCAAAATCATCTACGTGTTCTCAGAAATTCAAATCTGACTTTAGATTTGACTTAAGATTTGACATTTGACCTTCTTAAAGTCAAAAAAGGTCAAAAAGGTCTTTTTTCAACTTGCTTCAAATTGACTAATTTTTTTTTTCAAAATCATCTACATGTTCTCAGAAATTCAAATCTGACTTTAGATTTGATATTTGACCTTCAATGACCTTCTCAAGGTCAAAAAAGGTCAAAAAGGTCTGTTTTCAACTTGCTTCAAATTGACTAAATTTTTTTTTCAAAATCATCTATGTGTTCTCAGAAATTCAAATCTGACTTAAGATTTGACTTAAGATTTGACATTTGACCTTCAATGACCTTCTCAAGGTCAAAAAAGGTCAAAAGGTCTGTTTTCAACTTGCTTCAAATTGACTAAAAAAAATTTCAAAATCATCTACTTGTTCTCAGAAATTCAAATCTGACTTTAGATTTGACTTAAGATTTGACATTTGACCTTCTCAAAGTCAAAAAAGGTCAAAAAGGTCTTTTTTCAGCTTGCTTCAAATTGACTAAATTTTTTTTTCAAAATTCTCAGAAATTCAAATCTGACTTAAGATTTGACATTTGACCTTCAATGACCTTCTCAATGTCAAAAAAGGTCAAAAAGGTATTTTTTCATCTTGCTTCAAATTGACTAAATATTTTTTCAAAATCATCTACATGTTCTCAGAAATTCAAATATGACTTTAGATTTGACATTTGACCTTCAATGACCTTCTCAAGGTCAAAAAAGGTCAAAAAGGTCTTTTTTCAACTTGCTTCAAATTGACTAATTTTTTTTTTCAAAATAGGTGGTGACATTTTGTCATGTTAATGCCTTGTTCAACGCTGTTTCGGCATCGAAAAAATTTGGCACTGTTCCGGCACCGTTTTGACACTGTTCCGGCACCGAAACCTTTCGACACCAAAATTTGTTACCGGACTAATCAGTCCATTTGGTGCCGAAACGGCACAGACATTTGGCACCGAAACGGCGACGAAAATCAGATTGCATTTTGGGGGTGTAGAGTCAGTTACTCAGTTATTGCATCTCTAATGTTATTAATAACTTAGTTTCTGATTGTGATTGTTTGCCAAAATAGATTCATTTATTTCAGATTGTGAACCCAGCTAAAGTAAAGGAAAAGGTCGTTGAGCAATTGAAGACTCAGATTGTTGACTTGGAGAGATATCTCTTTCTTACAAGGTATTGTATGCTTTTTGAACCACATGTGATGACTAGTTGAGCAACCTGTGCTATGTGGGACACACTGCTTATCCCAATGTTTAAACATACTTGAGGATAATCAGCAACCTTGGAATAAGTTAATCCAGGTCCCATTTACATGTTAAATACAAAAATCTCTATATAAACACCACTCGACACCTGGCAACTAAACATACAATAATAATCTAAAAAGATAATCAACAGGTGTGGCTGCATAATGAAAACTCAATCGATAAAGATCACAGATGAGCCCTCAGAATGGTGCCGTTTTATTACTATAAATGACCCAAATGTATATGAGATCTGCACATAGCATGATTGAGTCTGACTGATTGTGTTCTCTGTTCAGGAGATGCTGGTGACCCTGGGCCAATAGGGGAGGAATCTTGCAAATGTAACTGTCATGAACACAAGGTAACTATTACATTTAATTGTATTAAACGAGAGTAACAAGTACACATGTACCCTAATGTAAACTCAAAATTACAGGACAGTGAGTTGGTAATTTAAATTTTCTGAACAAACATACGTTTGTTTTCTTGTTTTTTACCTCTGAAGTCTATTTCATCTATAAAGTCTATACCATATGCTCCACAAGTGGTCTTAATAAAAAAAAAAAAATTGTTAACCAATTCCAATTTTTATACAAAAATGATAATACCATTTAAGTCTACACTTAATTTATTTGGGAGGAGCTTCTATTTGCCTTCACCTCAAATAAATATGATTGTTTCCATTTCACCATGTAGTCTACAGAATGGTGTTATTTTTAAATTAATTGAAAAGAATAATTGAAAGATAATTCTTTGCTACAAAATGAATGATGATTTTTGTTTGTAGGGCCATGGTCATAATATGTCAGATGCTGACTGTTGTATTCCCCATCACAAACACACAGCCAGGTTGCACAGCTCACAGCATAAAGAAGAGGTCAGTCAACAGTCCATATATGGAACACTAGGTCATTGATAGACAGCATTCATAATATCATTTATTGAGGGCACTTTCTATTCAATTTTTTAAGAACTCAAAATCAGGTATTAGATTTAGTTCTAATTTTATCAGTTCACTTTATATGGGTATATACAGGGTGTCAAAAAACAACAGCACCCCCTCTACAGCAAAATGTACTTAGTGTTACATAGTGTGTCATATCCCATTTTAAAGATAATTTAATTCTGGAGTTACTTGAGAAATTTCAGCTCCGTATGATATAATTTTAAAGATTTACTGCTGATTATAAGTAGTTGGTAGGGCCACCACTTGCCGCTCAAAAAGCAGCTAATCTGGATGGATATGATTTGAGTGAAGATCCAAAGAAAGGTTCAGTATTGCGTAATCCTTAAGGCATTTTCCTTATATTCTTCAGAAATACATCCTTACTGTATCCATTTTCAAGAGGCCCCCTCTCCATCAATTCCCCTACTCTGTCTTTCACAATTGAACCTATATGTTCAGCGTAGTTGAGATCTGGGCAATTTCCTACATATTAAAATCATTTCCAAGATTTAAACCTTAAACCAGTAATAAAGTAGCAAACAAAGTACTGAAGTAGCAAACTTCGAAACAATATAGCTTTTTTAATTTAAAGTTTTATGAAATGAAATTTGACGAGTAACTCCAGAAATAAATTATCTTTCAAATGAGATATCACATGCCATGTAACATTTAGGAGTTTTTGCTGTAGAGGGGGGTGCCTTTGTTTTTTGACACCCTGTACTGTAGGGCTTCTGCTTAAGATGGAATACTTAGTATGACCATTCAAAGGATGTTCTTACTTATTTCTATCATGAAATGTTCAAAATGAGGAGTAATAATGAACTATCTCATTGGACATTTCACTTACAATAACATGTTATCTTACAGAGTACACAAAAACAAGCATTAGGCATCATGAAGCGCGCCCTAACGATATTACAGATTTTTGCCATAAGTCAATTTGGATGTGGGGGTCGAGAATTTCAGAAAAACTTACTAAAGCGAACACCCAAAGGCAATCATTGGGGGTAAGTCTTTTCTAGTTATATAACAGTGTTGTTTATTCTGCTTTGTTTTCAACATTTTGTATTACCATCATCTCTTTAATAGTATAGGCACCATTGCAAAATAAGCACCCTCTTTGCATCTTCTAAATATTGGAAGAATATGAAGTAATGGCCACATTAGATTCTTTTAGAAAATCAAGCTGGGGATATATAAAGGATATCTTATGAGTTATGACTAGTGAGCAATTGTATTAATAACCTTGAGTAACAAAAAAATTAATAAGAGCTCTTTATTTTATGGACTGAACAGTTAACCTCTGAATCAGTCAACAAATCTATACTGTCTCAGTATGTATAGTAACTGTCCATTGTGTATTGTAGAGACATCCGTGCAAGGCTGGAGGTAGCTATAACAAAGGTGATAGATCTGTATAACCAACAGCAGCACTTAATGCCAGTTGACAGTGACTACACCAGTGATAATGAAGATGTAAGTCATTGATATAAATGTAAATAAATGAATTTTTTAAGTCCATGTCACTCTTAAAAAGCAACATCCAATTATGGTACATTGCACCAACTTAAGTTATAATAGTTTTAAAGATTTAAAAGTTAAAATAGCAAACAACCCATCTTATAGTCAATTAGCATTCATATACAGAATGTACTGAAATTGTACCATCCTTTATATTTTGATTAACAAAGGTAGATTGCATATTCTTTCTGGGATTTTCAAGTGGACAACACCATCCATTATGGATATTAGCACTTCGTCTGGTTTATTCTATTAGTCATTATAATTGTATATATTACATTTATGTTGTTATCATGTTGATTTTATGAGCTTATTTTGTTGTAGACTCCTGCGTGCCAAGCTAACCTAGAATTAACACAAGCCATCAGAAAAGAACTTGCAATGGCTTTGAAAGATCTTTTACAACATGGTCTCATGGAGGTATGGTTTTTGCTATCAATTCAATCACTATTCATATTATTGTGTATATTGTCACTACCAAGCAGTTTTTCCCTCCAACTTTTAAGTGACATAACTTTGCATTGGGTCTGTAACAATTGTTACATTTTTGTCATTTGCAGTAACATAAAAATTTGTATTCTGATTGATTTGGAAGTTTCTGTTATTAACTAATTTAGAACATGTAACCCCCAACGATTCTTACACTTTTTGAAATTTATATTTTGCAATTGAAACTTTTAATGTGAACATAATGCATTAACATATGTTGTAATTATAAACAGATTACTGGTATTGACTATATATGTTATCGTCAATAAATGATAAAAGCTTGTCTGTGCATCTGAATGAAAATAGAACATGAAAATATTTCTCAATTTTACTAATGTATCTATATTTGTGTGTTAGAAAAATCAGAAAGGTTATTTTGAGATGAATTGATTTTATTTATTTCATTCAGGTGGGTCAAAGTACTGCCTTGGTGCCATTTGGTTGCTTCTCTAACAGGTCAGCTAGGACAGCCAAAGCCAACACTATGATGCATGCATGGGACCTCATTGAGAAATACTATGATATGAAAGTGAGTTTGACGTAAATACAAAATAGTATTGCAAAATCACCTGAAATTGAATGAATGTTTCAATTATTTGGAAACGTGAGTTCATTTCTGTTCTTTACGTTTCTCTTTGCAGAAAGGCAAGCAATACAATGAGTCTCCTGCTAGAAAGTTATCCATGTCCTTTGCATTGGACATGGTAGGTGGACAAGCTGTCACAACAAAACAGGTAATAATCAAAGATAGGAAGGATACATACTATAGGGGGCTTTGATATCCATCTTTTATTTCATAACAACATGGAAAGTAATGAACATTTCTCTTGGCAAATCAACTAATATGGTGGTCAGTTAGAAAAAACCTGGGTGGCACTTTTTATGAAGCCTGTATATAATCGAAATTATCAGTGCCAATTACATTATTATAAAAATGTTATTTATTGCAGACATTACTTGGTGCCATAGGTACAATAATAAATTCCCATGAGCCATTAAAGAGAAGTCAGGACTCAAAGTTCAAGGCATTTGTTTGTCTTGGACTCAAGTAAGTAGAACTGTTTTACAGCATATTTGCTTGTTTTATTAAACAGATGCCATAAAATAACAATGTAAAAAACAATAGAAAACCAACTGATCAACCTTTACATTGAAAATGGTGAATGATTTGTAAATTGTGTATCCAAAGACTTTGTTCTTTCAAACAAACAATACATTGCCTCAGTAATTATTATCAATTTTACTTTTTTACGTGAATTTTAATTGAATGGTGTCACCTATCAATCTACAGTTTTGAGTTAATATGAGTTAAAGTAAGATTACTTCCTATTTCAGTGAGAAGAAACTAGTCAGCTGGTTGCGTCTTATAGTGCGTACACAAAGCCTTATAGATTACTACTATCAGTCATGGAGCTATGTCAGTAGAACAGGTATGGATAGTTTGAAACTTTTATATTTTAAATTTTGAGTGTTCACTCAATTTATTGACAACACAATAAGTTACATTACGTAATATCTATTCTAATTTGTGATTCATTCACTTCATCCGTTAGTGATGTAGTAATCAATAAGCCTCTTTCCAATCCATAGATTATGAAATTGCAACCGTTTGAGACCATTGACAGCCTTCATAAAATATAAGTGATTAAGATACCCTTGGCTATCAAATGAAATGTCACCAAATTAAATTCCTTGCACTTTATACTACTTATTGTTATTTGGGCCAAAAGTGAGTGAATGTTTATCGCCTATTGCGTTGCTATAGAATGAAGTAAACAGCTTTTTGCATTTTGTCAATTTAACTTTGTATTTAGATCCATCTACGACACATATGAATATGCAATTGATGTCTTCGTAGATATAAAGAATGAATTCAAATTCAAAAATGACTATTGGTTCTAAACCCACATGCAGTATTCATATATCAACACTAATTTTCAGGCAGCACCACCATCTGCATTCGCATAGAACTTGATATAGCGATTGTTGTAACATTTTCTTTTTCAACCAAGAAATGAAAGAGAGTCCAGTTTGTGGAAGCTACACATTAACCATTTCTACTCAAAAAAAATATGGTGTCAGCATGTAAAAATGATATGAAAACATCTAGACTTTTATCTGAAATATTAGAATAACTTTCCAAGTACAGCATTGATCTTATCCAAACTTTTAAGGAAAATCACATTGATGGCATCTAAACCATTTGAAATGCTTTAAAATTGAATGAATTGAGGAAGCATATACTGCAAATTGCTTTAATTTGGGGATTGGGCAAATTTTAGAATTTTGGCAGCTGCTATTAATATGGCAGATTGACTCATTAGTAAAATATGGATATTGGAAGGCTAGCTAGGAAGTCACAGGGGCCAGGTTACTCTTGGGTGACACAGGGAGGTTTTCCCTTCATATGTTAGCTAAAATGTAAAAAATGGGGCTAATTAAAATATTGAAAGAATTCTCAATGAGACCTTTTTTGTTCCAGGGATTTTTTTCAAAAATTTGGCAGAGGAGTCTTAATTTGGCAGTTTTTATCAATCCGCCAAATCAGCCAAATTAAAATGGCCATCAAATTAAAGCAATTTACAGTAGATTGTTCACTTTGTCAAACATAACAATTCTGGTATCTTATTCTTTAGGGTATAATTCATCCATGAATAATATTTTTTTATGAATACTCTTAATAAATATAATCTTATGATTATAGGATGTGAAGATGTTTTTGCTGTCCTAGGAAAACTAACATCACTGAATTTCTGTTTACACTCTGACATAGCTGTCCGCCATATTCATAATGTTAAAGATGTATTCCATTTTTCTGGAATTCAATAGTAAGGTAACAGTGGATTGTTTCATCTTGCCTGCAATGCTAACATAGCACTCGATAACACAACACCAACACTTGCAGATGTGTCCCTTTAATAACAGCTCTTCCCAATTTTTAATAAGCCCATTTGTCTTGCAGATAAGGTCCTCATATAAAAGCCTCATTGTATAACAGCTTTTCCCAGGATAATAAGGCCACTTGTCTTGCAGATCAGTTCCTTGAATAACAGTTCTTCCTTGTATGACAGCTCTCCCTTGTATAAACCCACTTGTCTTGCAGATCAGTTTCTTGTACGGCTACTCTTACTTGTATTTATGCATTTATGTTCCTTAATTATATTGCAGCTCTCCCTTATATAAAAGCTCTCCTTTGTATAAGGCCATTTGTCTTGCAGATATGTTCCTTGTATTACAGCTCTTCCTTGTATAAAAGCTCTCCTTTGTCTGAGGCCATCTGTCCTAAAGATCTGTCCCTTTAATAACAGGTCTCCCTTGTATAAGGCCATTTGTCTTGCAAATCATTTTCTTGTATAATAGATCTCCTTTGTATAAGGCCATTTGTATAACAGCTCTCCTTTGTATATGGCCATTTGTCTTACAGATCTGTCCCTTGAATAACAGTTCTCCCTTGTATGACAGCCATCCCTTGTATAAGAGGCCATTTGTCTTGCAGATAAGTTCCTTGTAAAATGCCCCCTTATTCATTTCCCTGAATAACAGCTCTACCTTATATGAGGGGAGTGTATCTCCCTTGTACAAGCCCACTTGTCTTGCAGATAAGTTCCTTGTATAATAGCCCCCTTATAAAAAAGCTCTCCTTATAGAAGCCCATTTGTAGTTGCTTCACAATATGTAACCTTGAATACTTGAATGTTATGTTACCATACAAATTCTTATATTTTCTCATTAGCAAAATTGGTGTGGGTTTTTGTTTTAATAATTTTATTGCATGATATCAAACGGTTAAGGAAGTATGATAAAAGGCAAATATATAACCATCGATTTTATTCTGCTTAATGCAAAAACACCTCATTATTGGTCGTTCAACAATGTTCAGAAAAAATCATCTGTCGTATACTGTGCCTTGAATCATAGAAGCTCATGTTTATTGCTTTATTAATATATTCTTTCGATTTTGGGTCTTCACTTGTTTGTTTTTTTTGTGCACTGTCCAGTGTTTATATTCTGGAATTTGGATTTTTTCAGAAACTAATTTATTGTTTAAAATTTTTTAGGTTGGAATCTTTACACATAACAGGATTCTAGTTCGCTTCTCTGAGAAGTGTTAACATAGTGTTATGTCCATGTTTTCTGCTTTGCTTTTAGTGTATGACATGCAACTAGGCAACAGTAACAATTGTTTTTCCAAGTTTCGTAGGGATACAAAGAAGCCATCCTTATGGTCATGAAACATCTGCTCTAGACAATATATGGCTGCTCAGTTCATAATGGCAGTAATTTTTTATAATGAAAATATTGCTAACTCAAAAACTGGTTATGGGATTTTGTTGAAATTTCATAGGGTTTCTAATGGGTTTGCCATATGGCCCATTTTATCCCATATCATGTGCATTGAAGTATATTGCATGTGAATGAATTTTCAACATGCCCACCTAATCAGAAATGGCAGCCATTTTTCTGAAAAAACAAATATTTGGTTGAAGGACTACAGATTTTTGCAATTTCTGTGCTAGTGGAAATGCACAAAATGGACACTTTTTCATCCGAAATCTGTCTGGTCAAATCAAAATAATTGCAGATCTTTATTAAAAGATGATTTAGGCTATAATTTGAATAATCCATTCCAATTTGGCTTTATGTGTTACTGGCACAGTAATGCCATAAATATGAGCCACAACTACTTCCTGCTTGTTTGATGTTCATAATAAGGAATTAATTAACAAAATATGTTTAAAGTTATACAGAATTTGTTACTCCGTGGAGGTACTGTTTTTCTAGTTAAGACTAAGTTGCAACTATTTGCGTTAACTTACCAAGCTGTAACATATTGTTATGGTTATGCCTAATATAAACACCTATGTTCATGAAAAGTAAAATGTTCTCAATGTTTCCAGGGGGAGAGGACATCTGGCAATCCCTTGACAAACTAAAGGAACTCAACTTCAATCTTCCAATGGACCTTGCAGTGCGCCAGTTCTCTAATATAAAAGATGCCTTCTAAGGAACAGTGATATTCAGTGAAGCTTGATTGTGATGCCTTTTTACATGATAGATGATCTTTGTACAAATATGACATAAAAGGCAGTTGATTCAGCTGTGTTCATTTGGATCCTCTCCTACAGTAAATTCATAGAGCTTGTGCTATACATTGTGAATTAAGCATTATATGTAAATCCCTGTACCAGAGTTTCTCTCAAATATGCCCACCCAGCATTTACTTTGCATGGGTGCATGTTAGTTTGAACCACTGAAATAAACAGCCATGTGCATTTTATATATACCCCTCAATAACAATGGTTTGTCGGTCATTTTCCTCCTAATTTTTCACCCATCTGATGTTATTAATACAATAGACAGTCATTTTGGAATTTCATAATATCAAAATGTAAAGAATCCGATACAAATGCAATGAACATTTAAGAATGAATGTCCCTCATCCATTATCTAGTCACTATGTTCTCTCAGAGAAAAGTAATGCTACAGGAAAGCATCTTGGACAATTTTTATGGAACCCTTGGATAAAATGTTTTGTTTGTTTTTATTTCTATAATGACAACATAGTATGACAATTAATGGACTTAACTCTCTGTTAATGATGACACCATTATTGAAAGTCAAAAGGAAATTCAGATATTCTGTTGTGTATAAATGTGAAGACATTAACATTAAGATCTTTATTGACTTATTGTTATTTGCTTGAGGAATATATTAATCATGGAGTATACACCTCAAATCTGCATATTATTGATCTGACTTGAAATTGGTAATTTATAGGCTATAAAATCTACTAAAATATAGCTGTAAAATTGTGATGCAATCTAAGATCTGCGCTAAAATGATATTTATGGTATTGTTATTATCTTATATGTTATGATACATGTTTGTACATTATGGGAATCATAATACATGTACTTATACAACTTTACTATATCTGTATATAAATGGTGAAATTATATGAATCACATTGAAATCAGTGCAATATCATATTATATTGCAAAGTTGTAATTTAAATAATTTAAGTTTGAAATCCAAACAAGCGTTGTTAATTAGCAAGTTAGTTTAGACAATTGACTGATGAACAGTTTGTTCAAATGGCCTGGTGCTTCTCAGATTGAGATGTTTGACTGAACATGTTTTAAAAAATGATACTCACTGTGTTTAGACTATGTCTCAACTATTAAGACATCAAAGCTTTGATACAATGTCAGAATGTGTTATATTTTCTGAATTAATAGCAGCTATAGGTGAGATCTCCTGTCTCACCTTTGCTGAAAAGAATTATTTGTGATTGGGTCAGACAACAAATCTGTCTCATGAATACTTGTTTACAGTGTTAAACACTCAGCCAATGTGATAACTTGACAATTACTTAAGAAGCTGTTATCTACAACAACTGGAATGTGTTAATTGCAGATTCATTCATTTACTTTGTTCTTGTCCGAATGCCATCTTTGTAATAATATGCTGATTCCTTGCAATGAGTTCAACTCTTGTTATTAATTTATTGACAATTTATTACCGACTCAAATATCAAGAAAAATTGAAATGGACACTAAAAAGAAGAAACTACCACCCTGAATGACCCCTGTCCCTATAGTTACCCTGTAACTTCAATTATTTAATGCAACATTTTGAAAGATGAAATATCTGAAACCTGTCAGCCATTGTTGCCAACAGCTTCTGCAGTAGTTATTGTCAGGTTTTCACAATGTGACTAAAGTTAAATGATATATTTTGGATATCAGGTATACATGTACATATTAAGCAGACCAAGTTGAAATGGAGAATACAGTGGAAAAGTTCTTTTGCACAATTGTGTGGTGGAGAATTCCACTGACTTATAAGTATGTTGGTGTACATACTAGTGGGTATTACAAAAATTACTATAATGAGTATCAAATTAATGTGATTTAGTGTCAAGAATATGATAAAGCGATACAGCTGAAATAGAGACCCTAAGATACACTGTCATTCCCTCATGTTCCTCATTACACCAGATAAGAAAATAGATTTGCTATATGAGTATGTAACTGAAAATGGGGAGTAATGCCTTTCACTTACAGGTTTTCTTGGTGCAATTTTAAGGTCTCTATTGACAATTTTCAATTTTTATTTACTGGAACAGATCTGTTCATTTGCTTCTATAATATACAGGGTGTCCCAAGGCCATATATACAGGCGTCTTAGACTTGTTATGCACCATTGTAAACATCATCCAAAGTAACATGAAAACAAAGAATTTCATGAACAAAGAACTAGGAACTGTATATATGACCTTAATATATGGTAGACACTCTGTACTGTATTTCTGTATTACAGCTGTACCTGTATGAACATGCAATTCTTACATTCCTTTCCACTAGCATTAGAGATCTGAAGCTTCTACATAAAGTCTGTATGAGAATGTGTTATGTGTTGGGCATCTCTTGAAGCTTCAGTGGACATGATAAGAATGGGACATTTGAAGTTTCACTTAGTTGTCTACTAGAATGATCTTAATTATTACTATGTTTGATGAGTACAATGTTTGAGTTTTTGCTTTCTTTGAAAACACTACAAAACTTCAAACATTCTCCATGTATGAGATTTATTTAAAGTCTTGGACCGCAACATTGAACTTGGTACGAGTGACATGTGAAGGTATTTCAAGCTATATCATTCATGACATCCTGCACTAACTATAACATACTCTATTATTGTGCGACAAGCACAAAACATAACATAACTAAGATCATTCCATAGAATTCTCCCATTCTAAACATGAAACACTGGAGCTGGGGGGGAATGCCTCCATCTATCTTTACTTTGTTCATCTATCTCTCATTATTTTTTGTGAAGATTTAATTTGACAGGTTTTTTTTGAAGGAACTAATTTTTTGAATGTTATAATGGTTTTACAAATTATTTCTGATGTTGATTTTGTTAAAATGCATTTTTCAGAAAAATATTGCGACCATTTTTAAAAATGATTTCATGTTATTTTACTTTTGTTGCTATATTATAAACTCAAAGATAACAGAGCTATTTGGTTCCATTATGTTTAATACTTGCATAAAACATTTTCTTTTGTAAAGTAATTCAATAATGTTTTGATATTCAATCTGCAAATATTGACTTGGAAACATTCTCCTTTTAAATTGAAACAGTGTCCATTATTTGACAATTTGTTTGATAAATCAGCCATTTTGAAAAATGGTGACAGTTTTTCACTATTTTTGCAATAAATTATATGATAAAGTGAATAGAGCATTTTTATGATATTTTATCAGGCAAGCATGATGCATTTTCTTTTAGAGTTCTAGTTTGATTAAATATGTATTCTTTTCAGATCCAATCATTCCAATTATTTTGAGGTACATTTATGTTATTTCATGAAAATAAATTAAGAAAAAATGAATTCATTGAAAGCTTTGTTTTGTTGAGATATTTTGATGACCAGCCCTCTTATGGACCATAACTTTTAGATACATTGTCCAGTCCCTTTTACCTCCCATATATATTGCCATTTCTCAAAAAATTTGAATTATTCAATCACATTTACCTCTCATTTGTATTCAATCATTCCTCATGTTCAAATACATTGTTCAATCCCTTGTACCTCCCACGCATATATTGCTCTTCCCTCAATTGTAAAAAATATCAACTATTCACCATCTTTACTTCTTATATTCTAAATGCATTATTCAATTCCTTTTAAACGAGATTTCAAAGCTATATGGAAAAGCCTCTATTAAAAAAATATGAATTATTCAATCACATTTACCTCTCATTTGTATTCAATCATTCCTCATGTTCAAATACATTGTTCAATCCCTTGTACCTCCCACGCATATATTGCTCTTCCCTCAATTGTAAAAAATATCAACTATTCAATCATCTTTACTTCTTTATTCTAAATGCATTATTCAATTCCTTTTAAACGAGATTTCAAAGCTATATGGAAAAGCCTCTATTAAAAAAATATGAATTATTCAATCACATTTACCTCTCATTTGTATTCAATCATTCCTCATGTTCAAATACATTGTTCAATCCCTTGTACCTCCCACGCATATATTGCTCTTCCCTCAATTGTAAAAAATATCAACTATTCAATCATCTTTACTTCTTTATTCTAAATGCATTATTCAATTCCTTTTAAACGAGATTTCAAAGCTATATGGAAAAGCCTCTATTAAAAAAAATATGAATTATTCAATCACATTTACCTCTCATTTGTATTCAATCATTACTCATGTTCAAATACATTGTTTAATCCCTTTAACCTCCCACATATATTGCAATTTCTCAATTGACCCTTTTCCATATAAATGGAAAAATAGATGGCATCGTGGGTATTGATAGGGCTAAAGAACATGGCAACTTAATAGCAAGAGTCACAATTAATTTCTAGATTTAACAGAAATTCCACTTGGATCAACTTAAAACACCATTGGAATCTACCTATATGATATTATTGGCATTTGGATTGTGATTTCATATTAAAATTGTGATCCTTTTAAGAGTAAATGAATTTTTAAAAGTTTTTCAACATTTTGTCAATGGGGATTTAGCCAAACCACTTTAAGAAAACTTGAAAATCTCTAGAATTTGAATAAAGGTAAATAACAGTGCAAATCAAAGTTGTTGTGATAGAAAATTACACACAGAATTAAATATGCCATCAAATAGAATAAAATGTTAGTCTTAATGGATAAAAATGCAGATCTCCTAAAATCTCATTAAAAATAGACTTTAAACGAGATTTCAAAGGTATATGGAAAAGCCTCTAATTAAAATATATGAATTATTCAATCACATTTACCTCTCATTTTATTCAATCATTACTATTGTTCAAATACATTGTTCAATCCATTGTACCTCCCACGCATATATTGGTATTCCCTCAATTGTAAAAAAATATCTAACTATTCAATCATCTTTACTTCTTATATTCTAAATGCATTATTCAATTCCTTCTACAAACACAAATTGCTCAATTAGTCACATCTGATATTGCATATGTTTTTTTATCATCCATACCTTCCGAAAACATGTACATTCTTCAATCCCTCTTAGCCTTTTTGTTCACAAAGCAATCTCAATTGCAAAAACCTCCACAACTGAGTTCCCAATATGAAAATACTTTTAACGCAAAATCTAATGGTTGATTTAGGGCTTTCAAACTCAAAGAGGGGATAATGATGAGTGTACATAAATATTACATTATAGGCATGTATTGACTGTTTTTTTTTCCTTGTGGCAATTATCAAGTATGGTATTGGGCTGTCACAGGTATCATTTTCATCTCGCACTGTAACATCAGAAATATTTTTAGGAAGTACAGTATTACATTCTTCTAGCCTTTGTTCAGTGCAATCCATGCCTCCTGTGCTTAAGGTATGCAATAAACGAAGTGAACTTTTGAGAATGACAGTATTAATGCTCTAGATATTGCAAAGGAGCTACACTCCCCTCTATATAAGTTTGGCAACCTTATTATTAACCCATTAGACTGTGTTCAGGAATTGCTTTTTTGCTACTATTCATTTGAATTAATCCTCATATCCATTTTACGGGGTCTTTACGGGGTCTTAGAATTTCCAATGATATGGGACAGGTTGCAGAACTTATAGAGGTGGGTGTAACATGGAGTGTTTGTATAGCAGAATATAACCTTTATATTACTTTAAAGGTCCTCTAAGACCTACACTCTCATGTCTTATCTTTGGAGTGGTTGATAATAAAGGGAAGGACAACTTTGTCTTACATGTATGATTCATATTGAGGATTTGCAAGATAGGACTCTAAGTGTACTGATAATAGCATGATTAAGCTAAAATTGTGAAGTATGTTCCCTTTATCTCATTGCTTTGCATAAATTAAATTGCAGAACACCAGTTGGCCCCCACCCTTATATTTCTTTGAAACTGAATGTAGAAAGGGTTGTTATCATGGTGTTTATCTTCCCACAATTGAATTTAACAATTTGGCATTCCAACAAAATGAGCTGGGGAGATCTTATAGATATATCACTTATATTATTTCTATTGTTAAAGCATGGTCTTTAATTTATATGTTGAAAGCTGAGCACTTGTCAAATCGTTGCTTTTATGCTATAGCACAGAGTCATCTTTTGTCAGTGTTATGACCACATTGAACTTCCTCTCGTGGAAAACACATAAATACAGATTTTTTGATTGAAAATATTCACATTTTATTCTCGGAGCAATAATGCATATATATATATATATAAATCCATGTAACAAAGCATTCATGATGCACTGAATGGTGAACTGACATGCCTACTCAAGGATTACAATATCAAGTCAGTACAAGAGAGGTTTCACACAAGACTTTTGGAGATATCTATCGGGTTGGCTAGATTGTGCATTTAATTCATGTGAAACTACAGTATGTGATGTGAACACAAGACAATTAATACATGATATAGCACTTTGAAAATGTGCAATAAAAATTCCCATACAAGTAAATGTACCAAAATACAGCTACATTTTACCAAATGCATTATGCAAAACCTCTCCATTTCATCAAACAATAACTTGAAGAATTACAAATCAAATTGCTTCAATTCTCTGAATTTAACACATATTATTTCTTGATTGGTCCCTTTGTTTACCATAAATAAACAAGCACATGTATTGTTCAAAGGAATGATCTTCAAGTAACATGTAGCAGACCTTAAACAAACAAACAAAATTGTTATCTACATAAACATGTACATGTATGCTTAGTTTTACATGAACTTGTAGGTTGAACCAGTTCAAACCTTACGACTTTCTTTGAATCTCATATAGGTAAATCATACAATATTTGTTTGATGATTTATACAAATTTTTTAACTACATTCAAACAGTATTGTATCAAAATTTTCAAAATCATGTGTAATTTTCTACAGTGCATTTTGGATGAGAATGTGTTTATATTATCATGCCAGGATAATTCAGCACATTATATTTAAACTATTAAATAAACCATACTCATTCTCATATAATGAGGCAAAACACAACAATTATATAGAATTATGAAACCATTTCCCCTTGATACAATATATTTAATACTTGAATTCTAAATTATATAATGTTAATCAACCAACGTTTGTTTTAGTACATATTATATTGCACAATCTAATTTGTTTATTATCCCATCGAACGAAGTTCGGAGGGATATAGGAAACACCTTCGTTTGTCTGTCCATCCATACATCCGTATGTACGTACGTCTATCCAGGTGATGGCCACTCGTTTAATAAAAAAAAAATGGCAGCCATTTAACAGTGCCGATTTTACAGTAATTTAAGTACTGTATATGAAACTGTAATAGCAATATGTTTTAAATGTAAAAAGATTATATAGGAGCTAGAAATATACTTAATTAAGAAATACATGGCATTTTGAAAAATGGCGGCCTTTAGATGCTATTTTACAAATTTTGGTATAACTTGAAATGTAGAAGAGCGATTTTAATCATATTTGATATGTGAATACTCATAAGCATGGCACACCGTTTTATGACACTTCGGCTAGAAGGCGGCTATTTTGAAAAATGGCAGCCATTTTTATGTGTGCTATTTTACATTTTTACTATAAATCAAAAAGTAATAGAGCGCCTTTGTTCATATTTGATATTTGAAAGCTCATAAGCATGGCGTACTGTCTTATGATACTTTAGTTAGTAGACAGCTATTGTTTATTATCTTAGCAATCATTTTCAAAATGGTGGCCATTTTTTATGTGTTTTATTTTATGATTTATGCTTTAACCTGGAAAGTAGTTGAAGGATTTTGTAAAAATGGCAGCAACGGCTGTTCGATGGCTTATATATGTTCAGCTGACTATTTGTTGGTGATGTAACCAAATTAATTAGTTTGAAAAATACTGAGTTAATGATTCACCCCAACATGATAACATTAATTAGCCTTAGAACCTTGACTGGTGATTTACGAGTTCCAGCAGATAAGTTATAAAATGTCTAGTGGGATTCTCACAATGTATAGGCACACAAAGTGACAAACTTAGTTCTCAAAAGTTTTTATAACTCAAAATAATTTACAATTCTTATAAGATATTGATACAAAATAGTTACTCCTTTGGTTATATATTGTACATATATGGCACCAGATATTGGCTGGAGATATAAATTATCAACTGTGAATGAAGACCTGTACAGTTGATAGCATTCACATTTAAATCACTTCAAAATCAACATTCTAATTTCCAACAATCTCCCAAACTCTTTACAACTGATAACAGGATTATTGATATGGAAGTTATGAAACCTTTACAAATAATTTTACTTAAATCATCCGCTGAAGGAATGTACGTAGTAACAAAATCTATTTCTAGATAAAATTGGCGACATACAAAATATAATGCTATAGTTTTCTTAGTTTGGAAGTTGAACATAGAGGCCAGATACCTGATTATCAATCAAAAAAAATCAATATGAACATTAATATACATGTATTGCATTCTCTCCCTTACAAAGAAACACACAAATTCCATGCAATTTAGAACTCCATTACCTTACTAAAGATTCGACACAGCATGAAAGTCGTGAAGTATCTGTGCAAGCGATCTCAACTAAAACAACATGACTCAGATAGTACTACTCCAAACATTTTACGACATTGAAAAACATTTGGAAAATAATTTCTGAGACACTAATATGCTAACATTTGATAGTGTTCACTAGTTGTCTCTATAACAATAACTATATAATATTTATAAATGTAACGCAGTATAAAAATACTGTCCCAGTGCTCTTATATATAAGAAGGCAAAGTGAGAGTGATTATATTTATTTATATTTTTATATAAAATATGGGTGATCATTATTTTTTTCAATGAGACAATTAGAATATAGAGGAAGTAACATGATACAGATTATATATACATTTATATGGTAAATAGAGGAAAGTAATTCCCTATTAATGAGCACCCTTCCATCCTCAGGAAGTTAAAGCAAAATGAAAATCAAAGCATAATCTCAAAATTTCAGTATTGATATGATCGATCACAAATTAATCAAGTCTGAATTTACAAGAACAATTTCAGGCTACTGATATGAAAATTGTTGCAGCATCTGAAGTAATATACAGATAGATGTGATTTCATATGAATTTTTTTCACTCAGAGTATATAGCAAGCTCAGCTTGTACAATCAACATCCTCCGCCATTGAAAATCAAAATAATCAAACACAATCCATCAATGTTTACAAAAGTATTCTATATTCATTATATGCAACAGCCTGTTTTGCTAATTTCAGTATTTAGCAAGTGTCTCCTCACAACCTCTGGAACATTTCGTATTTATCTTTAAAATTTAGCGCTGCATTTCTTGAATCACGTTTTCTCCGGGATGAAAGCCTCTCTTTCATTTCAGCAACACTGACATTCAATTCAAGCCCAGTTGCAGGGTCGATTGGGCCTTTTGGTTCTGGGGCTGGTTCTGGCTCGGATATACCATTCACAGTTGTTGTTGTTGTGACAACAGTCGTCTCAGTTTGTTGGACAACTACAGGGGGTGGTGTTGGTTCCCTTGGGGGTGGTGTTGGTTCCCTTGGGGGTGGGGTTGGTTCCCTAGGAGGTGGCGTCGGCTCTCGGCGAGTTTCCTCAGCAGCAGCTGCCACGGCAACAGCTGCCACGGCAACCTCAGTTTCTGTCAACGCAGGTTCTGGCTCTGGCTCCTTATTTACCTATAACATACAGGAGATATATAAATACTCTACATACTCCTATACTTAAAACATTACATTGATCATGCACATCACAATATAGTACTATCATCTCAAAACACAACAGCTAAAATGTGAGGGTACATGCAAGTTGGTATTTGTTAAACTACTTTAAAATTGTTTGAGAAAGGATTGAATTTTAAGATCATCAATACATGCATATGGATATTGATACACTGTTAAACAAGATATGTATTTCAAAATGATATTTTCACTGTTTAAAATTGACTCTATCAAGTGCACAAAAGTTATTTTATGTTTTGATTCCTAAAAGATTAGTCCACACACATTGCACATTAGAGAAACACAAATGAAACAAGGCATTAACATGCAAAATGTCACCATCTGCCATTTGTTACAGACATCAAACGCCAAACACCAAATATTGTTCACAAAAAAGTTAAAGACTATAACAATATGTCAACGCTTGTGGTGACATAAAAATGAACACACAAGTTAAAACAGATATGTGCAGAAAATCAGTTCTATACACATTGTGTTTTAGGAAGAATATTTCAACAACAATATTATACATGGACCACGAAGCCCTAAAATGCAGAAATCTGTCAAAGTTGGTTATATGAGAAACCCTAAAATACAGAAATCTATCATGAAAACATGTGATAGGCAGACTGAGATATGTTACCTCTAAGATGAGAGATATGAGGCACACTAGAAGCTTGAAAACATACTCAGTAACAAGGCAAACCTGCTGAATGTTATAATAAAAATGTGATTGTTGTTAACAATCTAGGCAACCGAGAGTTTCAAATCTGCATTTTTCTACATCTATGAGAACATATATCATCTCCAAAGCATGAAAGCAATAGAAAGCTGCATGTTAGAATTTGATACATTGGAAGTGTTTCCTCCAATATAGGTCCTAAGAACCGTACCTCATGTAACTAATATTTCATAAGGAAAAATTCTAGAATTGTTAAGATACTAAACATGAAAAGAACGTAGAGACAGTAACAAACTGAGAGGACAATCAATGTACTTCATGAAATTGACGTAAGTCGGCAAAAAATAGATTTTAGAAAACCAGTACAGTCTTTCAAGCAGGATCTAACATGATTGCATTCTTTTGGGCAGTTAAATTTTACTGCTATTCTAAAGTACTAAAACACATGCTCTCATTTTTATGTTGATTTGATGAATCAACATGAACTTTTCAGGGATTATTTTTAGATGTATACAAGATTTTATCATACTGGTTTGGTAACAGTAGCGTATAATGGAACATTTCTTCATTTGCAATTGTAACATTATGACATTTTGATAAAATGAATGGATGGTTGTTTCAATCAGGCTTTACTTGGTATTCAAACTTAAATAAATACCACCATTAACTTCAGTGTCACATACACCTTGATCAAAGATACAGGGCATAGTACACTGTATAAATACATAATATATAAAACCTCAAAGTTTGGCTACTTGAATATTAATTTTATGATGTGTATTAGGTTTCAAATGCTGGCTAAATTCAGTTCACACTTTGCAAAGACATAAACTAGGAACAGGTACTCCACATAGCAGTAAAGTCCACCAAATAATAAATATTATATTGTAAAATTTCAAGACAGAAATATTCAGGCAGTCGTACCATCTCCTTTTGTTAAGAACCAATGCTTGTGACTATCTGTATACCCGCATAAGACAAATTATATTCAAGTTTGTATAGTGTAAATTATCAAATTCTAACCCAAAATTATGAATATTGAAAATCTTATTCAAGCTATCATTTTAAGTTCTAACTTGATAATATCAGTTTTCTTTTTCTTGTAAAGAGATTCAAAAGACACTAGAGAATTTTCGTTATAAGTTGTTTCAAAAACTTATACGTATACTTATAGTTTAAAGGGTCTTGTCGAACTAAAATCAATTCAAATTGAATTTCATAATCTGTACCAAGTGGGGCATAACTATTCCCAATATAGTCAAGCTCCATCATCAACTAGGGACTGCGAATACAATGTCCTTTGCTAGTGTCAATTATGAACACGATAAACTAAACGCTAGTTGACGGGTCATTGTAGTGTACGATAAACATGACCCTTTAAAGTGAATCACTACACGAACGAGTCGATCATTTCAAAGTTCTCATGAAATTATAAGGTCAATTTTTAAGTTTTTACGTATAAAAGGGCCTTTATACGCAGATTATAAACTTACAGAGTTGGATCTCCGCATAGTATATGTGTGGACCTACTGACCAGAATGGCTTATTAAAATTAATCGGCTGAATAGGCATAGTATCCAATCAAACAGCTCGACTCATTCATTAGCTGAACTAATTCTCCCTTCGTTATTTCTACAAGGTGATTCAAAACGATCATCTACAAAAAATATATTTGAGAGTAGATAAATCTGTAAAACCCGTGTGCTATATCAGCCTATTTGATTCTAGAAAACACATATGACACAACTAAACATTGCTTTACATCAAGGGGGTACGGATGGTATGCCATTGGCCCTTTTTATTACCGTCCTAGGAGATATTTCCCGACGAATTAGGAAATTATGAAACACCTTGTTTATTGGGTTTATAAGTATAAGTATACGTATAAGTTTTTAAAAAACTTATAACGAAAATTCTCTACTGACACAATGAGACTTATCTTATGAAGAAAATTAGCCAACTAATATTTGAACAATTCCCCTGACAGATTGATTGTTGAAGGACTATATTGTATCCCTAATGGCATTCATTTATTGAGATACCCATTGTAAATGTTAAAGACAACATTCAAATGTTGAAAAATAAACAGCCATGACTCATCTACAAAATGATTTAGATGTGTGACATGAATGTCAAGTTGTTAGGTCAACATGTTAGGTGTAGAAAGAGTATGTTGAGCGTGTGGTTATTTCTCCAGTAAAGCCAATAAATCCCACAAAAAGGTCTAGTGCTTGCTAGTAGGAAAGAACACTCAGGACACCCTTTCAGTTCCCACCTCAACCTCTTCATAATTGTTATTCTCCTCCTCATCATATTCAGAGTTCTCCTTCTCATCAGTGGCCATATTAAACTGTGCAACAACCTCATCTTCAGTAGGCTGGGGTTCATCATATGTTGTTGGATCAGCAGTGTCATCATCATACTCAACATCATGAGTTTGGATGACAACAGTGTGACCTTCATCTTCTTCATCTGATACTGAATGGGCAGGTGGAGGGGGAGGAATGAACTCAACCTGCTCGTATGCTTCAGCCTCTCGTTGAATGTTCTCATTATTATCATCTTCATGGTCGTCAATTTCAAAGTTCATGACAGGTTCAGGTTCAGCCTCATCATATGTTACTTCATCTTCAGGGGTTCTATCATATGGGACCTAATCAATCAACACCTCATTACTACATATATCAACACTAGTCATGCAAATCCTCAACAATATATGAATTGATAGGCTATAAATCAAAAACATATACAGTACAATAAAATGTTTCATAGAAAAATAAGTAACATTGCCTTCAGAGGGATCTCACTGTAGCATCATCTGGAAAATACAAAGTTTGATCAATTATCAAAGCTACTTCAGAAAAACTCTCCAAATGAATCTGCACACATACTTCTGAAAACTCTGCTCTTTGTAATTGTGAATATCTCCATGATTACAATTGTAATCTTGCTCTATAATTTTAGTTGCTTTGAGCAAAACTAAAATTCCAGAGTTACTTGGGGACAAGGAACATGGAACTATATAAATTGAATTCAACTCTTATGAGAGAAAATGATACATTTAAAGAAGCAGTACACCCAAACATTTTCTCTTTTGGTACTGTTTTAACAGCCCATGGCCATTTCCCTTAAAGTACTCTTAAAAATTGATATAAGAAAGACATCAATCAAAATTTCTGTATAATTGATTCCATCACCAATTTCTTGAAAATCCTAATATATAACTTCCATATAAATTCTTGTGTCTAAATACAAATGATCTCCTTCTTATTATACCTAGTATTTCTCCTATACCTGTAATGCTTAAGTAAGCTGTTTGAGCAGCCATTTTGAATTAAAAATACAGTTTCTTCATCTATACTATAATTTTCATTTGATCATTGTAACTATTACAGACTTGAATTTTGATTTATAACATGTCTAATCATTTTAAGTGTGCAGCAAGTGCTATAGCAGCATGAAAAAGCTTTTCTTTATGTCAAACTCATGATTTTTTCATCTCAAATCTTTAAGGTCAGGTATGATTTCCTGTCCACTTCTTAACACATTTATCAAATGCATATGACATTGTGCAGCATGCTCCTAATGACATCAACATGAGATTGACCACATGAACATTTGCTATCATAAAACTAAATCAGTAGTTTGTGTTGACTCTTGGGTACTTAGGAATTGTCTAACTCACTTTGTTATTTTTGAAGGTTTTTGGGCAAATTATCATCTCATGTTTTGTCCCTTTTAAGACTTTGAAATTAGCTATTAGCTAAGGGGCCTGGGACATTTGATTTTCTTCATTCAATCAAGGAATCGATGTCTTTTAAGTGATCTGATATCCCCATTTATTAGCAGAGAGAAAGAATCAGCCAGAGACCTTTAGACTGTTTTCCTCATTTAAAGATTTATTGCCTTGTTACAAGAATATTATGAAATGCATGCATCTACTTTTTTGGGAACTTTGGAGAATATCCAGGTATTTTATGGCTATAGACATTCATCCTTAAAATCTTGCTTCAGTGTTTCAGTATTTCAAAATTTAGATTATTCTTCATTCACTTACGAGTTGCTTTAATCACCTCAAAAAGTCCAACTTGGTTAATTTATATGTGGGACATATTCAGAGTCAGTTTGAGGAGACATATTTATTACATTTTGCATAAAAAATAACTTAAGAATAATAAAAAAAAGTTGATATTAGTAAAATAACAAACTTGAATTTGCCTGTACAAGGTACATAGCTTTTCAAACTAGGTCACTCATACTATCATATCTTCACTTTCTCAAATCAATAAGTATGTAGAATAAACTACCTGCTTAAGACATTGCTTAAAGTTACACACCGGGTTAATTTGTTCTTACAAAGTATTTTGACAAAAGTTTCATAACAAAACATTATCAAGGTGTTTAAAACAGACCTTTTGTTAAAATGCTTCATTCCAAAGCAATTTAACCCTACTGTATAACAAGCACTCTTGGCAGTCCAAATATACAAATGTTAACTTGCCGAGATATGACTGAAATGATCTGTAAAAATTTGCAATATACTGATCATTCAAAACTTCTTACTAAAACTATTTATGACTTTGTGAGACACTTAGTCTACTTGAATAAATATATCTGAAGCACTGGCTGGTATATGTGACACTCACTACATGTACAAACAGATATTTAGACTGTGCAGTTTCTAAATCTGACAATCACTTATATGTAGTGTTCTTTTGGAAATTCCAAAGACATACCTTAAAAAGCATGACCAAAACCCAATCAGTTATAGATCTTATGCTGAGAAGAAAGCACAAAAATTTCAAATCAATTTATAGGACAATTTGAGACTAACAAACAAGATTTCGAGAAAGAAAATCCAAAATGGCCACCTGGAAACTAACATTGGTCTCAGAGTGATGTAATATTGAAATACGGAGAAATCAGGATAATCTATTTTTCACATACATTTTAAGATGGTCAAGTTCATGAATTATATCACACATGTCATCGTGGGCTTGGCTGATAAGTGAACATAAATCCTATACATATGTTTAATTAAGCAGCAACCTTAAAGTATGAGATGGATGGACTGAAGTACCTAAGTACATCGATGTAAAGTACATCTGCAATAGGGCTCCTCAAGCATATATTGAATGAATGCTTCTACATATTACAACCCAAAATAGTCATGAAAGCCGACATTGAAATAATCATCTATTTAGCCTGCTCTTTAACCCTGTTATCAGTTAAAACAGATTTTAATACATGAAGTTACCTGTATGAAAGATATAAATAACACAAAATATTATGTAGGTATAGATGTTTAAAACATGCGCCACAGAGAGACATCATGAGAAGTCATGGCTTTTTCTTAGTTCCTTTTTAGTTGAAAAACAGAGAGATATGACCAGAATGACCGAGACATAACTGACTAAATTTTCAACTTCTCACAGTCACACATCCTAAGAATACATCATTTTGGACTTGTACCAAATTTGTTGAGACACACAATATGCCCCAATGATTTAAAATATCCAGTAGCTATAAAGCAATCATCAATCATTGGAATCTGAGAAAATATGCTAGACACCATTAGCAATGCTGAGCAATGTATACGCTGAGGCCTGTAAGGCTAACATTTACGAGCACGCAAGCTCAAACCCCTACCTCAGTTATAGTAGTGGTTGTTGTGGTAACAACAGTTTCTGTAACTTCAGCTGTGGGAACAACATTTTCATCTTTTTGTAGCTCAGGGATGGGCTCAACAGCTGCAGCCTTTTCTTCTTGAGCAGCAGCATCAACAATAGCAGATGCAACTGCTGCTGTGGCTACTGCTTCAGCCACTTTTTCTTCCTCTTTCTGTAGCTCAGGGACAGGTTCATTGGCAACAACTGTCTCTGTGGTGGTCACAGTGACAATTTGGTCTCCATCTGTGGTGGCTGCCTCAGTTGTGGTCTGGGCTGCCACAACCTCCCCATCAGCAACCAGTGCTTCAGTGGTAGTTGTAACCACATCACCATCTTTATTGACAGATGTCTCAGTCGTCTCTACCTTCTGAACTGCTACAGCTTCCCCAGACTATAACATTTAGGAGAACTAAGTACCAACAGACCTACCTCAACACATGCACACATAATGCTCTCAACCTCAAACCATAATCAATGCTAGACTGGAATAAGGTTGCTGGGGTGGCGATGGAAGACTTACTTATAATGAATCTACTAAAAGTGTGTACTTAATACAAAGACTTGGTACAAGAGACAGGACATAGGACAAGACAATTAACTATGATGAGGTTAGTTTAGGATATACCTTCATAAAAAAAAAATGTGTACAAAATGTCCCCACCAATGGGTGATCCCATGAAATGGTTATCCTGAAAATGAGTAGACAAGACTTTACCAACACAATTTGAGGCCGGAAAATCCAAAATGGCCACCTTAAAATTTACCCAGAATGCCAAAAATTTAGTCAGTTCTAGATTTTCAAACTAAGAACCACTCCTGAAAACTTTTAACTGATCCGTCACACAGTTAACTAGAAAACATGTAAACAAGACTTTACAGACAAGATTTTAGGATGGAAAATTCAAAATGGCTGCCTTGACATTTACCCAGAATGTCAAAAAACTAATCTGTTCCTAGATTTTCATACTAAGAATCATCCCTGAAAATATGACATTGATCTACCAAATGGTTCACCTGAAAACGCGTAAACAAGACTTTACAGACAAGATTTTAGGACAGAAAATCCAAAATGGCTGCCATGACATTTACACAGAATGCCAAAAAACTAATCAGATGTAGATTTTCACACTAAGAATCATCCCTGAAAATTCGAAATTGATCTACCAAATGGTTCACCTAAAAACGCGTAGACAAGACTTTACAGGCAAGATTTAAGACGGAAAATCCAAAATGGCTGCCTTGACATTTATCCAGAATGCCAAAAAACTAATCAGATCTAGATTTTCATACTAAGAATCATCCCTAAAAATTTGAAATTGATCTACAGAACGGTTCACCTAAAAATGCATAGACAAGACTTTACAGACAAGATTTTAGGACAGAAAATCCAAAATGGCTGCCTTGACATTTGCCCAGAATGCCAAAAAACTAATCAGTTCTACATTTTCATACTAAGAATCATCTCTGAAAATTTGAGATTGATCTACCAAATGGTTCACCTGAAAACGCGTAGACAAGACTTTACAGACAAGATTTTAGGACGGAAAATCCAAAATGGCTGCCTTGACATTTACCCAAAATGCCAAAAAACAAATCAGATCTAGATTTTTATACTAAGAATCATCCCTGAAAATTTGAAATTGATCCACCAAACGGTTCACCTGAAAACACATAGACAAGACTTCACAGACAAGATTTTAGGACGGAAAAATCCAAAATGGCCGACAATAAAAAAGTGATTATGTGTTTTTGCTGATTTCTTCTTACAAAATTATCACATATAACTACTGTTAACAATAACATAGGCTTTTACAACAAAGTACATCTGAAATTATTTATAAAGCTACTAAATAGTTAATTATGAAAACTCAAAAACACCATTCAATATGATACAAAGTATTATCTTGCGCTAACTTTTCTTAAAACATTCAAAATGGCTGACATGACTGAGCTAGCAGGTCCAAAACCTAATCAGATCTAGAATGAAGTGAGCTGAACAAGATGTTAAAGTTTTAAAAGCAACTGTGAAGCCGTTTTTCTTAAAGTTTGCAGACAAGGATTTTAGCATTTGACTTCAAAATGGCCGACAGGAAGTAGGTATCGACTTGAAACTTTTTCATCCACATCTGTATGCACTCATAAGTTATCCCTGAAAATTTGAAGGTGATATCTGTAGCGGTTTTGGAGAAAACTCCCGGACGTACGGACAGACGGACGGACAGACGGACGGACGGACGGACGGACGTACGGACGGACAGACAGACGGACGCGCCTAGGCCGACAATATGGCCCCACACTATGTGGTGGGGACATAATAAAAAAGTATTACTTACATATTTATAAAATGCAGCTATTTTTCTAATTAACTCTTACCTAATTTAACTGGTAGTATAGACTTAATTATGGTTTGAGAGTTTATACACAAACACTAAACAATCATCTATTCATCTTTTGTATGAATAATGTTGATATTTTAATATACAGTGTATTCATTGGCAGAAGATTAGAAAGAATATTGTGAACCTCCCAAATCCAGCACTTAGTAAAGGCAGTATAGAGAGTAGATGGGAGGTAGCCTTTGCTAACAATTGTTGAATGCTTGGTTGCGGTGATCTCTTGATCTCTGAAAATTCCAGAAACCTGGTTTTACAAATTAAAATAAATGATTATTGATTAATATATTTGACATTCTTCTGTATCAGTAATGAATATGACACTGTTTCGTAAACAGGAAGCATTCATGATTAGCATGATTTGTTTATATCTTGTGATAGAAAGCTTTCAGAATTACATTTCATGTGCAGTAGCATGGCATGTATTGCAACCATTTGGGTTTTAAAAGAATTTCAAAATTTGAAATTGGAAATAAATTTAAGTGCACTTCATTGGTAATATATTTATTCAAAATTGACAACTTAGAAAATGAATTAGAGGTTTTTAATACCTCACTATTGTTACGTAAACAAACGTCGAAGTGCAGATCTTAACCGTTTTTGAAGTTCTGTATACATGACTAATGTAATCATGTTATGATACTATATGTCAATAAAAGTTATATATATAACAAAAGTGAGGTATTAAATCGACAATTCTGTTGTCTTCTGAACTAACCATCAGAAAGTGTGATATGCGTTTAGCCACATAAAAAATTTCAATAAAATTGCACACACAAACATGTAAATGTTGGCTGTTTTTTAAAATGGCTACCTACTACCTAAAATGTCATACGACGTTGTGCCATGCTTATGAGATTTCACATATTAAATATGAACTAAATCACTCTATTACTTTTTGAGTTCAGTAAAAAATGTAAAAATGGCGGGCATTTTTCAAAATGGCCGCCTACTACCCAAAGTGTCATTAGACATTGTACCATGCTTATGGTATTACATATCAAATATGAACAAAATAGCTCCACTACTTTCCAAGTTGCAGCAAGAATTGTAAAATTGTGAAATAAAGGCCACCATTTTTCAAGATGGCTGCCATGTGCTTCTTAAATATCTACATTTCTAGCTTTATTATGTCCTATATTGTACCTTAATTACTGAAAAATCGGCACTAAAATGGTCACCATTTTTAAACGAGTGGCCATTATGAAAAGTTTGAGCAGAACTTCTACCCCCATATATATACGGATGTACAAACAGACGTATGGAGGCAGCCCTATATCCCTCCAAACTTTGTTCGATGGGATATCAATTCAGAAAAATATAAGGTTACAAATCACTGAAATAACCATAAGTGATTATTTAACCAAATTGTTATTAAGTGTTATCTAACGGAGATCCTGCCTTGTGAATATCTGTGTGAAATACATATACAGTATATAGTAAGTGGATGGCAGTCCTACAGTGTCCATAAATATTTTGAACTGAACTGAAATAATCCTATATTATTTCTGGATATGTAAAAATATTGAATCGGACTGATTGGATTTGGTTCCCTTTCAATGGGTTGAGGAGTCATTTTGTGAGTATGCATTGTCATGAGTGTCTAATTGATAAAAAATGTTAAGTCAAAGGATATTTCCCACCAAAGTAATCTTAAGAACAAAATCTACCATCACCTGAATCAGCAGACATGCATTAAGTGTTAACAACAAATAAGTCAATTTTCCTGGAGATTTTATGCTCTTTAGGATTAAAAATGCCACAGCTCTGAAATATGCTCTTGAGTTGGGAATAATTGCCTTCTTATTTTTGGTTCAAGGGTTTGAAACTGCAGACCAATCAGAGATTGGTATGAAAGCCAGTGAAATAATGTTTTTCTGGTGAATGAAGCATGTTGTTTCATAGTGATTAGGAATAAGTAATGAAAGAATAAATTGTTTCTTATTGAATGGAATATATCCTGTTTGATGTCTATATACCTCAGCTAAGTATTTATAAAGTTCAAATTGAATTGCAACAATAGCTTAAGGTTTGAGAAGAAGAAACTTTAGGACAAAATCATTCTCTTTCTACCTCATAACATTATTACTTACAAGTAGAATTCCATAGTAACGGATCAAACTGAAGTTGGTTTCCCAAATGAAATTTATTCATCCACCAACAGAGAAGATAGTAAAACTGTAACGCCAGGATTCTAAAGATTTGTCATTTGCTCATGAACTATTCTTTAATTCTCAAATTGTTAACTGATGAAACAAACTTTAACTGTTACTAATTCATCATCAGTGGCAACACTGTGGCGAGTGTAATTTTTCATTGGCAAGTTTGAAAACACAAGTCGATTGCCACTCGTCCAGTGACAGAATAAAAATGCTAAGACCCACACTGAATATGTATAACAATTATATACGACTTATATACCATCAATTCGTGCCTTTAGAATCAATGTTTTCTCTAGGATTTTACCATTTTTACCATATATTAGTAAGGCTGATCAGCTGATCTTATATAGCTAGGTTACAGGTAGCAATCACACATATGACAGGCCAGGGTCAAGTTGCTTAGCTATGAAATTATCAAGATAAGTTTTATTCATCTTGATCAAAGTCTTATCAATATCAAAAATATATAACATAAAGTTCAAGATTTACAGGGGGTGGGTTGTATATAGGATACTCCTTATTTATAATACATGCAAAATAAGAACAGTTTATCTATATTAAGTGTTCTCACCAGGATTTCTTTTAAAGTGGGTGCAAGATCATTTTTACAGTTTATACCAAATTTGGTAAAAATATGCCTATTTTCCATGACTTTTCTTGTTTTCAAATAGGTGCAATTGGATTTTCAGTTGGGTGCAAGTCTAGTATTAAAACCTGAATTGGGTGCAGCATCCACTTCTTCAATACTGGAGAGATCACTTATTATCATTGGTGGTACCTGGATTGCCTTAATTCTTATATTTAATGTGATACATTTTTACTGTACATGATATAGGGATACTGCAAGTGCTTGATTACTCAAGAAATATATACAAATTTGCAAATCAGCATAAATATTGTAATTTCATTGCCAATTATCAAGAATGATCAAACACAAAAGTTGAAAAAAGTCGACAAAAGTGTGATTCTAACACAGCATCTTCTACTGTGTACTTAAACTCTGCAACATTGTTCATATATCATTGATGTATATTTTTCAATCTTGTATATATCACAATACCCCTAATAACACAAAAATATATATTAAGAAGCAACAATAAATAAATGATGTTTAAATCATAATTGCATGCAAGACATTCATTTCTTAATCACATAACAACTACTGAAAGTACATGCACATTAAATAAAGGCCACATGCTTAACTAGAACCATTTTAAGAATCTTAAAACTAGAAAATGGCAACTCCAATATATTTCTAATGAACCTCATTTATTGAGATATTAGTCCAGTGAAATGTACATGCAAAGGACCTAAAATTGGGCTATACAATGAAGAATATATATGAGATAAATTTCATGTTTGTGCTACAGTTCCAATATCATATTCTGATAATATAAAATAATACTTGTAACATGAACAGAATTTTGGTTTGAAGTGAATAACTTGGATTTTCCAAACATTTCTGAAATTTTTGAAGCAGCTGCCATTTTGAAAAAAAAATATTTATAATATATTTATAATGAAGAAAATCTGTTAATTCGTACATGTATTTAAATTAATAGCCAAAGTGGACATGATGACAACTTCACTATTATAAATCATTTTAAGATACATGTACAAATCACAAGGCGTAAAACCTCAACCCCACATTATAATCTTATTCTAGAATATAAACTGGCCAATAACAAAGCAAATTTAGCTGTAAAAATTACTGAAAAACATGTATTTACTAGATAATTATGATAATATCTGATTCAATAGAAAAGAACATTAAAATTTCTGTATAAATGGCTAGTGCTGACGATACGTACCTGTGCTTCTGTGATGACTGTTTCTGTAACTGTGGTGACTGTTTCTGTAACTACTGGCTCTGGCTCTGGTTCAGCAATATGACCATTAGAGACTGTTACTATTGTTTCACCACCTGAAAATAAAGAAATTAGAAACTGTAACTCATCACCCTTTTAAATGAATAAAATCCATCAACCTAAATTTGAATTATCACCCAGATATGGTAACAATTGTTTCATTGTCTAGAAATGTGATAATAGAATCCCACAAAGTTCCATCAGAGACTCTCTGGGAGTGATGTTATATATTTGTAATAGGGTGTTACAGATATCTAGAAAAACGTATAAATAATGTTATATTTCTACACAATTTTTTCATGGGAGATTGGTAGATATTTTCAACATCAGCTATTTAGTTTTACATGATAAGTTTTCCTTAATTTAAATGGTTCTAACTGTGCTATTACACTTATTAATGATTTTGTTCTGTTCAATTAAAACTTCTCTGGAAGGTCCAAACAACAGAGGTGAAACAGGAGGGTAGAGCACATACAAAATAAACTATAAAGATACCCTCTCCCCAATTTAAGAATCTACCAAAACTATCTTTGTTAAAAGACTACATATGTACTGTCATTACTTAATGATTACGTTATTTGAAAAACATGAATGGCAAAGAACTACAAAACAATCCTTTTCAACATAATAATATGAACTGATTTAATGAGTTCTGCTTTATATAATAATACTACAATTTATCATTAGAGTCATTTGAGGATCATAAGGGGTGTTATAACTGCATTTAAGGTGTCTCCAAGGTGATGTTTATTTTGATCTTTTGTTTGATTTGGGAACAAGAAGATTTAAACTTCAGCGCAATGTTGGGAGTTTAAAATGCCAAGTGAAAATACCTTGGTTCTACTTTATTACTAAGCAAAAATCCCAAATATGGGGATAAAATAAGGGGAGTTTTGACAGGACATTTGACACACTACATATTAAAACTAACATTTATAACAATATCAGAAGTTCAGAACCTACATCCCATATCAACTGAATTTAATATTCATAGTTATATTGATGAGTGGCACTGAGTGTATCAGTATTCCTATAGGAGCTAAATGGTTAAGCTTTAATTAAATGAAAAATTCTTGCAGTAAATGTAACTAGATCATTTCATTAATTAAAACAATGGTTTATAGGGCCACTTATCTCTTATTATCAGGCTGTAATTATACAGTGATGTATGTGTAATTTGATAGGTATGGGATGTTTAGTTCAACCCATATCAAATATCTAGCTGATAGGTTCCTACTCTTAAACTTTGTGTAGTAGAATGTTTCTTACATAAGCTGATTAGGAGCTAAGGACGAACTCCTTGTTTGTTCATCTGACGCACCCTGTATCAACCCAGTTAATAACACTTGCAATAAACCCACTTAGCAGTTAATAATACTTGCAACATAATCACTTTGCAGCTAATAATACTTGCAACATAATCACTTTGCAGCTAATAACACCTGCAACATAATCACTTTGCAGGTTAAAACTTGCAACATAATCACTTTGCAGTTAATAACACTTGCAACATAACCACTTTGCAGTTAATAACACTTGCAACATAACCACTTTGCAGTTAATACTTGCAACATAACCACTTTGCAGTTAATAACACTTGCAACATAACCACTTTGCAGCTAATAACACTTGCAACATAATCACTTTGCAGGTTAAAACTTGCAACATAATCACTTTGCAGTTAATAACACTTGCAACATAACCACTTTGCAGTTAATACTTGCAACATAACAGTGTGAGAAATAAGCACTCGACAATCGACAAATTTCGAGTCTGAAGATGTATTTGTCGAGGCCTTTTCAAACGTTCTGGTCAAAATTGTCGGGAGAGATATTACAGAGACGTGATCGTATCTTCCCTCTTTGCCTCTGACATATTACTTACCAACAGACCTAAGTAATCATCGAGATTTTAGGAGAAATTGTCTTCGATGTTCGAAAATTATTTTCATTTTTCATTCCGCCTAGAATACGATAAATTTGTGATCGCTTAAAAATTGTGAACACCTTTCATTAATACGATAAATTTGTGATCGCTTAAAAATTGTGAACACCTTTCATTAAAACAACGAACGCATGTAGTTTTGCTACTAAATAATAGCTTCCGGTCGCAGTTTTATGCTGCAGAATGATTCAATTTTCGAAGCGGTAGACATAATACTGCATACAGTTTGCAAGGCGCTAAATCTTAATACAATCTATCCCAGCATCAAGTGCAGGCAATTGAGAGAGGGTTCTCTACAATGAAGTTAACAAAAACAAACAGGAGGACAAAACTTAGCTTTCCCCAAGTCGGTATTTTACTTATCTGATCTTGAATTACTACCGCCTTGTACAACCCAATACATCTCTGATTATGCTAAAAGATTCAACGGTTTCGAGATTTCCATAAATACCTACGCTATCAGGGGTATCGCGAAACCTTATTGATTGACAGATATCGCGTGGACACGACGTGTGACTTCAGGCTGAATGACCAATCAAAACGTTATCTACGACTTGAAATTCAATGATCTGATCGAGTTTAGTTAGAGTTACAACTTACAATATATTATGCAATAAATGTACATTGGAAGGTAAGAGATTAAATCATGCGATTCAATGTTGATTTAAAACCATGACGTAGAATAATGGAAATAACGTCACAACGCATGCGCGTAAATCGACATTTCATGGTCCGAAGATTTCAATGGAGAGCAGTCTTCATCAAAATTTAAAATCTTAATAACTTTTTAGCAAATAATTTATTTTCTTAGGATTCAACGGATCCTTGTTAGACCCAACGAAGTGTTCATTTTGATATATAAAACAGCAAAATCCATCCACAGATCTTTCGGCCTTTTAATGATTTAATTTTCGGGATATTTTGCTAAAATCCACCATTGGCCGCCATTATAGACTTTGAAAAAACCCAAATCCTCATCATTTCATATCATTCGTTAAGTGATCTGAACAACTCCAATCGCTTAGGATTCAACGGATTCTAAGAGATCAAAGCTAATACAATATGTTGACAACCCCCGTTTCAATATTTGCCGCATAATCTTTCGGCCTTTTAGGTTATAAATTTGTCAATATTTTGATTTTCGACCAAAAATGCACGAAGACCTAGTCCAATGTAGCGGGTCATGTTGTCGTCGATCGGTGATTGAATCTCAGCCTACATGTTCAGTGATCGTTTCAACGTTTATTGTTGAAATCTTCTCACCTCCGGTTATCCGATCGATGCTCCGGCATCCACTAAACTCTGATTGATATTTATCTGATAAAAGATTTGTATTTTCATGATGAATTCGTGCAAGATTTGTTCCTGAAAACAGGCCTGTCAACTGTCCCGCAATTTGCGTATTTGTCACGCATTTGCTGAAGAATTTGAAGTCACGCCAGTTTTTTTTGCGTGACAGAAAATGTCACGCAAAATACGCATTTTACCTGGTAATTGTCACGCAAAAATATTTCTGTAGAAATTTTTTCGAAATATGTTTACGATACGGTAAAAATACGAACGCCGGAAAAAACCGAACGTAATTTGTTCGGAATTGTCACGCGAATCCCGTATGTGTCACGCATGTTCATTGGAAATTTTTCGTACCTACCTCCCCCCCCCCCCCCCCCGTTGATGACATTGCGAGCGTAGCGAGCGCGAAAAATTTGAGGTGTTCAAAGTTTGGCAAAGGTGCTCAAACTTTGGCCAAAGGTGTGTAAAAGTTGGCCAAAGGTGTTCAAAATTTGGACAAAAGTGTTCAGATTTGGACTTAGGTGTCCAACATTTTGAAGTCACTCATATTAGGTGGTCCCAAGTTGACAGCCCTGTGAAAAGTCCCGGTGAAAAATGTACTTGCTTTTGACCGTGCATAATAATGAGCTATCGTCGTTGATTGGTCAAATTTTACCGACATAAACATTGGGTCGGCAAAGCACGTGGCTTTCTCTTGAGTACAAGGCGGTCATAATAGAAATCAAGATAAATAAAAGAGACCGACTTGGGCAAGGCTAGACAAAACTGTCAAATAAAAAACTGTGTGCTTTAATGAAAGTTAAACTCGGAACACCAGCCATTGATCAATTCAGTCCTAACAATTCCATTGATCATTAGAGGAATGTGTGTAAGAGAAGGGAGAGACTTGGTCTGACAAGGATGAAAATGAAGGACAGGGATATGGGTGGGACAGGTACTGATGTGAATGATAGTGTACCAGAGGAAAGGGAAGATGACAGTGTGAAACTGGATGAAGGTAAGGATGCTTGTGTGATTGATTCTGAGGATGAGAATGTGAATGTGGGTGCAAATGTGAATGTTGAGAATGATGTAGTGGATGATGAGTCAGAGGAAGAGGGATTTGAATCTGAGTGTGACATGTCCGAAGAACATGTCATTGACAAACTTAAACTCATAATGAAAAATATGTAACACTAAAACATGTACAACATGTATAGGCCTAATGCATGAAATAAAGTGCTACAGTTATTAATTTGACTTTTAGTATTAATTAATATGTATTTTTATATACTGCAAGATGAATGATTTATTCCCTCCCCCTGGTGTATGTATTTCATTTAATTTATTTTTTAAAAAATTGTCCAGTGTTTTTTTTAAACTGACTGGTCAAAATTTTGACCAGTCAAAAAAGATTTGTCCAGAGTGTTTTAAAGTGACTGGACAAATTTGTCCAGACACCAAAAATGCTTATTTCCAACACTGACATAATCACTTTGTAGTTAATAACACTTGCAACATAACCACTTTGCAATTAATACTTGCAACATAACCACCTTGCAGTTAATACTTGCAACATAACCACTTTGCAGTTAATACTTGCAACATAATCACTTTGCAGCTAATAACACTTGCAACATAATCACTTTGCAGGTTAAAACTTGCAACATAATCACTTTGCAGTTAATAACACTTGCAACATAACCACTTTGCAATTAATACTTGCAACATAACCACTTTGCAGTTAATACTTGCAACATAACCACCTTGCAGTTAATACTTGCAACATAACCACTTTGCAGTTAATAACACTTGCAACATAACCACTTTGCATTTAATA